GGTTAGCAGGGTTAGCAGAGCCCTATGTCCTAACAATTCCCTATCTACGCACTACTAATATTAGATTTGTTAAACCTAATAGAAATAAAGCAGGATGTTACACTATACGCTGTGTATACTAACCTATAATATAGTAACTACGTAATAAGCTTATAACCTTGTAATATCTAGACTAGATATTATTTACGCACGTTACTATAGATCTTACTAGTATATATAATAACTAGATCTTTATACACTATATAGGAGAACTAGTATTAAATACTTATAAGTTTAAGTCTATAGTTAATAACTTCTATAATAGCTACTAAGAGGGAGACTACTTTAAAGTTAAACTAGGGCAAGAATAGGGTAAAAGTAAGTTTTAAACTACCTATACTATTAGAAGAGTATAACGCTAATAACTTGTAATAGTTAGCTAGCGCTATCCCTAAATACCTAATTATAGATAGCACGCAAGCCTATAGCTAAAATAATCTAACAGGCTAGATATGAAAACTATCGCAATACAATATCTTATTAATATCCCACTATATATATTAACTTATTAGGGTAGGGTAATAGTGTTTACTTTTACCCTATTCTTAGTTTGTAACAGTTATAAGCCTAGTTAGCGTAGTAGTATTATTACTATATTTTAATACGTATTAGTAGAGCGTGGTTAAAAATTATAGAGGACGTGGGTTTAAATCGCGGTGTTAGAATACTATAATTTAAGAGGTCCTAATTAGTAAGCCTCTAGAGGCGCCTAGCTATACTACTTAATAGGGTTAATATTTCTCCTGTAATAAGGTAGGCGCCCTGCCTATAAAATAAATACTACGTTATCTCCCCTATCTGTACTAATTCAGCTATAGTCTAAAAGGTACGCATAAGAATACTTAAGCTAAGTAATCCTTGTATAGTATAATATATATATCTTAATAGATAATAGTGCTAGACCCTAGTGCTAACCTATAAACCTTGTTTAAGTCTAGCCTAGGCATCTAGTAAGCGCTAGCTATTTTTAGCCTAGCCTTGTTACATCTCCTAGATTAACGCCACAATACTACTTAACAACAACCACAACAAAGATTGCGCTTCTTTAGCTAAGCATCTACACCTCTGCTTAACTAGGGGGTGTGTTGCAATATAATATCTTATTAATATCCCACTATATATATTAACTTATTAGGGTAGGGTAATAGTGTTTACTTTTGCCCTATTCTTAGTTTGCGATAAAAACTAGTATGCCTCCTAGTTATATCGCGAGCAACGCTAACTACTAGACTAATTAACACGCTAACACCTACCCTAAAATTTATACTAAAAGTGATTCTAAAACTAGTAGTAAATTAGATAGTAAGTAGAATAGTAAGGTTAGTAGTAAAGGATTATTTTTACTAAGATCTATAAGTACTAGCAAAGGATATACTAGTAAAGGAAAAGGATTACCTTGCTATAACTTAGTATATTAGCTATACTACTAGTATAGGGCTCTATAATAATCTTATATATAGCCTTAGAGGACACCTAAGAGTTATCTAAGGTAGTTAGTAATATAGATTAAGTAAGTGTTGCAGGAGGGATATTAACTAGATCACAGAGCATCTTAATTTAATTAATCCCAATTAATACCCCTATATAACCCACTATCTAATTAACTGCTAGCTTACTACTAAGTGCCTAATAAAAAGCAGGAGCTCTAGTAAGGAAGGTTTACTAATTATTCACCTTCTAGTAAGGGTAGCTAAAGCTCTATATATATAAGTCTAATCGTAGTAGATATAATCTAATAATCTATCTCCCAAATCATTCCTAACCTTAGTGATCCAAATTTGCACATTAAACCTACCCCTAGCTAGAGCCCTAACTGCCCTTATATAGAGAGCGCGATAAGCGATAGGGAGGACTCCTAGTAGTACTAGTACTAGCATAGCTAAAGGTTCTAATTTAGATTAGCAACTATTTAATTATATAGATTAAATACTTACTAGATTTTAGATAGATTAGGTTAAATAATTAAAAAATAGGGGATATAGGAATAAGAAAGTTAGTAGGTAGAGGGCTAGTTATATACAGGCTAGGGATAGGGGTCTATACCCTAGGAAGAAGAAGTAAAGGTAAAGGTAGAGGTAAAGGTAGATTTATTTTGCAAAAAGCTCTTCTTTAATAAGGGATCTAAACCTAATCCTAAGGATAGGGACTATCCTTTCTCTATAGGAGGGGGTAGTGTAATAATAAGGTAGAATTACCTGCCTATTATTCTATACTAAGTTAGGCCTAATAAAGGCCTAACTTACTAATATATATAGAGAACAGCTCACCTATAGTTAGGATAGGTATGTTCTTCTTGTCCTTTTGTATAAGACCTATAGGTGTAGGAATCTTATCCTTTTCTATATAGACGCGCACTCCTATATGCCTTTAAGTTGTATAGGATACCTTCTAGATGCCCTACCTACCTAAGTTGTTATAATAGAGGCTAGATTAATAGAGTAAGAGTAAAGAGAAGGCTAATTAGTAGGGAAAATCTATTATATATTAAAGTAAGTTTAGGAAATTTATAGTAGGGTAGGAGAGCTATATTAGAACTTTTATAGTAGGGTGCTAAAATAAGCGTATAGACGCTATAAGGGTGTACTACTTAATATATAGGCCTATTATAAATTAGGAAAAAATATAAAGATATAATAATAAAACCTATATATATAGTAATAAAGCCTAATATAGATTATAGAGGATAAAGATATAACCTTAGACCCCTAAAAAGCTAATTTTATAATAGCTTATAGGGAAGGTTAGGGGTATGTAAAGGGCTTAGGCTTATGCCCAAGCCTGGGTCTAACACAAGACGGACTAAGTCTAACACTACTACTAAGCGAACACATTACACACCCATAAAAAGGCGCTAAGGGCTTACCTCTCCTTTAAGATACTAAATACTATTATCAACGCTTATTGCATTCTCCCTTAAGGCCAGTCCATAACAATATATTACACCTCTATTAGTAGAGGAGTGTACTAAACCTCTACTATATAAATATTAAAAGCTACAATATTACTATAATTAATAGCTATAATAAAAAGATATACTACTATTTTAAAGTTTTATATATAGTATATTTTATATGTAACTATAAGAATAGCTATAACCTATATACTACCTATATAACCTTAACTAATATCTACTTATATAAGACCTAACCTAACTACTAGGTCTATATAACCTAACCCTAACCTAAGCCTATAGCGTATATAACCTAAACCTAACCTAAGCCTGTAGCCTATATAACCTAAACCTAACCTAAGCACTAGGTCTATATAACCTAAACCTAACCTAGTACTATAGCTAGTGTACACTAACCTAGATTTACTAGCCTACCTATAGGTCTTATATAAAAGGATAAGAAGAATATACCTATCTTAATATAGGTAAGCTACTCTCTATATATATCTATAAGTTAGGCTAGTATTAGGGTTAACTTAGCATAGAATAATAGGCAAACAATTCTGCCCTATTATTATAGATAACTTGTAACCCTAACCTACTTACGTAAGACCTAACCTAAGCCTAAGGTCTATGCGACCTAACCCTACCCTAAGCCTATAGCCTGTGCAAGCTAAACCTAATCTAAGCTAATAGCCCGTGCTAAAATCTGTGGTTAGGTTAGGGTAGGGTTCAGGGTCTGACATAAGCAGACCCAACCCTAACCCAACCTATACCCATTCACCACCCTACCTAAGACTAAGCCTATGGCCTGTGCGAAAATCTTTACTTAGGTTAGGGTAGCGCTTAGTGGTCTAACGTTAGCAGACCTAACCTATACCTAATCTATACCTAACCTATACCTATTTGCCACCCTAGTGACCAGGTTATATAGCTTACTGTGACCAGGTTGAATAGCATTTGCCTATTACGCTCAAGTTCAATGGGGCAATTTCGGTATTACGCTCAAGTGCTATAAATCTAAGCTCTATCCTTGGACCTTATAATTACAATACAACAATCTACTTTTCACTCTATCACTAAGCTCGTACCACGAATTCAACAACCTTATCACCACTTACATACTTCTACGATCTATAGCTACCTTGTTGCTAAAATGCTATCATCCCCCTACACGATCTTAACCCTACTTGCTCTCTTTATCCCTTCAATTACAGCTTGTAGAGAGGCCTCAATTTCTGGAGAAATTAGCTACAACTACGGCAAATGTCCAACAGTGGATGAAGCTTTGAAGGCATGCGATGTCATAAAGGATGCCTTGGTTAGGTATAGTCTACGGCGTAATAATGCTTGGGGTCACCATATGACAGCAGAAGCCGAATGTCCTCCCTGCCCGAATCCTAACCATCTACGAGCTCTTTTGTGCACTTGCACAGTCACAGCGCATAACTATCGGGAATGGTTGCCTGGCATTCAATATTCAGAATTCAAGGATGAGCCAGGATTGGAGTTATGGACCGGTACTAGTAGCCAAGACCATATATGGGTTGTTTACGTAAGAGCACATTTCCTCCTAGGAACATAAGACTAACTACAAATAGGTTCTTAAACCGACTCGTGATTGCGACTAGGACACAAACTACGGATAGATCCTGTGCGCTGTAACAGAATGTGCCAAAAATGAAAGGCGTGGTAGTAGGCTTAAGAAATGCTTTTGGGATTGAATCGGCGCAAGTTCGGAAGGACAGGAAGATCTGGTAGGTATTTACTAGATGAGAAAAGAATGCAACTGAAGGTCTAGCCTTCTCCCATTTTTACTGTTCTTCAGTTAAGCGAAGCTCCGTTTTTCTATCTGCATCATAGGTATCCTTTGCTCCTAAGCTTAACTTACCACGATTAAAGAGTAGGCATTCCTTCTGTCGCACGCATAAAATGAGGCATAAGTAAAGACTCCTACGCCACCTCTTTGTGAGACATATATGGCGGATATCGAAGGCAGGAAAGTGCAAATAAGGTTTTAGTGGCTAGTAGATTGTACTTGTACTAAACTGCGTATTATCCACAAGTTTACCTATACGTCCATATAAGTGTCCCAGTCCATCGACTCATCCCGATCCCGTGCTCGGCGTGTATCTTCCACAACTTCAATCGAATGTGAGGGATGTTCAGCTTCGAGCTCAATGTCGCTGCTGTTATTTTCATCGAAACCCTCCTCGCTTTCCAGAGTGTCCGTCATCATCGCAGCGCGTTCTTGAAGCGCTGCATAAGCGCGGGGATTTTGGGTTCGCAATTCAATACTCTGCACTGGCTTTGGCCTACGTCGTGCTATGCCATCGTCTGAGGAGGAACGGTTCCCATGGCTGTAGTCGTCGGAAACTACCTCAGGCTGAGTTGATAACACCATGGCTATGTGAGATGTTGCAGGAGCTGGATTTCGATTTGCCGCAAAATGTGCTCGTGGCACAGGATCTTCAAACTCTTCCCATTCGGCACGATACTCGGTCCACAATCGCCACCCGTCAGCATCAGTTACCACCTCCTCCGTGCATCCAATGCTGTCTTCTTCTACAGCTCCAGTACCAATCTCTTGCTCGTCTTCGCTAAGGGCTTGGATATTGAGCGTCAACCGAAGTGCACGCTCTTCACGACGACTCACGTCCTGATCAAATTGTTCAAGACTCTTGTATTTCCTTTCAGGCTGCCCCTCACCTGCTGTGGGCGCTACGCTTGCATATCTGCCGTGTATATCCCTGGGCTGAGTGGACTGACGTGCAAAAGTTGGCGCGTGATCATCAAGCATCGACACATCTGAGCCAGCATCAAAATCTTCATCGTCTGATTCACTTTGTGAATCGTACAGAGCAAGTCGCTCCATGGGAAGCGGGGTTCCACTTCGCATAGCCCTGCGTTTGAATGATGTAGATGGCCCTTCAGAGCCTTCTGTGTCGGTAGCACCAGGCTCTGCAAATCTGGGACTTTCTGGCGCCATGATCCTTTCTACTTCATCCCAAGATATCTCACCTTTGGCACTACGGCCACCGACCCGCTCCGGTCTACCCCGTACGACACGTAGGGCACATCTCCTTGCGACACCCCGCCAACGCTCGTCTCCATTTCTCTTCATGCCGACAATCTCAAGAGCAGAAAACACGTCCCTGCGTTTCACTAGAGGAACCATGCCTTTCTTTGTACGACGACGTTGTGATCGGAGACGCGATGTAGCTTGTGTAATGGCAGTTTGCATCAGCCGTTTTGTCACAGATACGACCAAAGTATGGAGATCATTGAAGGCACTGCGGTAGATGGCAGGTTCCGTTGCAAAATCTGACGCTATCTCAGACCAATGAGGCCAGGGCGAGGGTATAGTCGGCGATCGGTTCATGAAGAGAGTTCGCGATAAAGTCAGCATCATATCAGCGCGCAGGAGTTGGGCTTCCGGAATTGCTGAGATGACTGCATCGGGATCTTGAATAGTATCCGGTTGTCCTTTGCCATTTTCCGTATCAGGCAGGCCGGGCTGTGCGCGAAGCTTCGGATAGACACACTCGTCCAGCTTGCGGCGAACACAATTGCTACATGGTGTACCCCGATCGCACTTTTGTTTGTGCAGCTTACAAGATATACATGCGCTGTAAGTAGGATCAATAGATGATTGCCAAAGAAAGAATTGGGGCCATACCCAGGTATCACCTTGCCTCCTCTGCGCGTTGTCTCGGCTCCACTTGGTGGAACAGAGGAAGCTGCTCTTGAACGGTTTGATTCCAAAGCGCTTTCGATATGCCCAGCTATATCGGATGTGATGAGCCAGTATTGACCAAACTTGGACTGCTCCTGGCTCGCCTCATGCATCTCCTGATACCAGGCCAAGGCCTCTGCGAGTGTGTCGAGCCGTCTATTGCAATCCTCCCCCAGTTCAATCGCCGCTGGAACGTCTCGGAGCGTCACCTTGGTACCACCTTGCTTGATTGCAGCGTCATGGAGCAAGAGGAGTAGTTCCTGTATCTCTGGTATGGTTTTGGCGCCGACCGCCTTTGCGATGCCCGGCGCATCAGCCTTGCCGAGCCGCTCCAGGGCGGCAAAGAAGACCGATAGCTCGCTGGCTGACCATGTAGACGCGCCTATTTGCATGGAGTAGTATCGTGCGGTGTCAAGCGGTTCCAAGCGGGCGGCGGCGCGATGCACATGTTCGTTGTAAAGTAGGCGGTAAGCGTCGTTGTATTTGCCCTCAAAGTAGTAATTACGGATCCGAGAAGGGTCCACGGATTCTAGACGGCGACGCTTTTGGGGAGTCAAGGGCGTGCGCGACTGGCGACGAGGGCGACGAGAAGAGGGTCGTGAGGGCAGCTCTTGCTCGACATCGCTGGAAGAATCAAGGGTCGATTCGGCGTCGTTATATTCAGACGCAGAGCTCATGGCGGACGAGCAAATAACTCTGTTGTCTGATTACCCTGGCAGAGTAACGGCGATAGCATTATCCTCGGTGTGTTCGCGCTATTCATGGTGAATGTGAGCATGAGTAGGGAGCGTTGAAGCAATGCAATGCCAGAAGCCAAACTTTTTTGGTGGGGCTGACGCGTTATCTAGATACCGTACGTTGTCGTCATTGGGTGTTATTTATGTTTTCTAACACACACCCAATCGCACGTGATGAGCAGTTTTGAGTCTGTCCTGTTCGGCATCTCATCAATGTGCGTAGGGTAGTCTTAACACCTGCGTAGGGTAGTCTTAACACCTGTAACACTTGGATATGCAAATCTATTGTAGTATTTAGTGGCAGCGTGGCAACGTGGTAACGTCGGGACCTTGTCGTTGATGCCCGTTATTTATAAATAGATAACGCCAAGACAACACAGCCGCATCCATCCATGCCACACAGGCAATGCAGCAAACATTGGTTGGTGTCTTGGAGTCGTGACTTCGCGACACCTTCGAGAGGGCTTTTGGGCAGCTTCTTCCTTTCCTCGGGCTCCCGTCGCGTCTCTTATGTTTCGCTATTCGCCTCATGGGCTGGCGCTGAGACTGTTGACCGGTGCAGGCCGTGTGCCCAGCTGCACAACACCAACAAGACAGGCGTCCAGACTACATCGAAGATCCCCCTCCTCCCCGCCGCCTGTCGCAGTTGCCCCCTCACCACCAATACCACCACCAAAACCAAGACCACCACCATCCCCACCGCCGTCATCCATCACATTGCGTGAGTACCAGGAAGAATGCATCCAAGCCGTACTCTCCTACCTTGAGGCTGGCCATAAGCGTCTGGGTGTTTCACTGGCCACGGGGTCTGGCAAGACCGTCATCTTCACTCATCTCATCGACCGCGTCCCCGCTGTAGGCAATGCCTCGCAGACACTCATTTTGGCCCACCGCCGCGAACTAGTCGAGCAGGCGGCGCGTCACTGCGCCTACGCATACCCAGACAAACATGTCGACATCGAGATGGGCAAGGTGCATGCTTCGGGCGCCGCTGACATAACAGTCGCCTCTATCCAGAGCATCACTTCCGGTGATCGACTGGCAAAATTCGACCCATCGAGGTACAAGCTCGTCCTTGTAGACGAGGCACATCACATTGTCGGCCAAACCTACTTGGATGTGCTCGAGCACTTTGGTCTGAGGCATGTTGCCGACTGGACTGGAGTCACCGTCCCAGCCCTGGTCGGTGTCTCAGCTACTCTTTCACGTTTCGATGGCAAGAGACTTGGGACTGTCATCGACCACATTGTATATCATCGGTGAGCAGTCTGATTCCGTATACTACACCTGGCATGGCGCTGATCTTTCAAAGTGACTACGTCGACATGATCGAAGAGAATTGGCTTACCGATGTCCTTTTCACAACGGTGGAGATCAAGGCTGATTTGACCAAAGTGAGCACTGGCGCCAATGGTGACTTCCAGACGGCCGCCTTGTCCCAGGCTATCAATACCAACGAAACCAACGATCTTGTCATCAGAACCTGGTCAGCCAAGGCCAAGGGTCGCAACTCGACTCTCGTTTTTTGTGTAGATCTAAGCCATGTCACCAACCTCACCAATAATTTTCGTGCATGTGGTGTGGATGCCCAGTTCGTCACTGGCGATACGCCTGCCAAGATTCGAAGTGCTAGAATCGAAGCGTTCCGAAGAGGAGAGTTTCCTGTACTGCTCAATTGTGGCGTCTTTACGGAAGGAACAGATATTCCAAATATCGACTGTGTGTTGCTTGCTCGCCCCACCAAGTCTAGAAATCTGTTGGTCCAGATGATTGGCCGTGGTATGCGTTTGCACAAGGACAAGGAGAATTGTCATGTCATCGACATGGTGGCTGCGCTGAGCACAGGGGTCGTGTCAACACCGACACTCTTTGGTCTTGATCCTGCTGAGATTGTCGACCTGGCGGACATGAAGAAAATGACGGAGCTCAAGGAACGGAGAGAGTCAGAAAAGCAACGTGAGGCGCAAGCTGCAGCAGTAAAGCAGAAAACAATAGCCACAAAGCTGCCTGGCACAGTGACCTTCACTGACTACGACTCTGTTCACGATCTGATAGCCGATGGGACTGGCGATCAGTATATTCGCAACCTGAGCCAGAATGCATGGGTTGGCGTGGGAGACGGCAAATATGTTCTGACGGGCAACAACGGCAACTATCTGATCATTGAACCGTCTGACAAGTCCGAGGGATGTTTCAGGGCCAAGTGTTACTGGAAACTGCCCGCGGACAAGAAGGTCAAAAGTCCTTATGGTACACCCCGCACCATCGCTGAAGGAGAGTCATTTGAGCACGTGGTGCATGCTGCTGACACGTACGCTGCCGACGCTTTCGAGCACATGTGGATCTACAAGAACCAAGCCTGGAGAAGAGGGCCTGCATCACAAGCTCAAGTGGATTTCCTTAACAAATTTCGACCAAAAGAAGATGCTTTGAAGCCTAGCGACCTCAGCAAAGGCAAAGCGGGAGACATGATCACGCGTATCAAGCATGGTGTCAAGGGTCGATTTGACAAGGCGAGCACGAAGCAGAGGGTAGCTAAGCGCACAAAAGAGCGTGCAGAGTCTTTGCACCAGAAACTGCAAGGCCAAGTGCAAGTTGGCCCATTAAACCCCTGAAATCTCAAAGGAGAGGTGCCGCAACGCTGCACAAGGTTATCAACTTATATCCTCATCGCGATCAGAGAGAATATAGATTATACAGCAAGTATGTACAAAATCAGACAGAACAAGTCGTCGATGTGATCAATGTCAATCAAATGTTGTAGCAAGGGCTGGGGCACTAAACCACGTCTATGGACTGAAGGCAAGGCAAGCTGCTAGAGTTCCCGGGACAAAAGGGGACCGATGGACCGACCCACTTGACGCTCCCGCGGAGAAACCTCAGCAACGCCAACCTTGGTCAACGACGACAGCCCTCTTGAGCGCGACGCGACATTTGCCAATCTTATCTTTCAACTGCACGCCATCTTTTTGAATTCGGTCGGAGCCTATCTCGTAGTGCTGGGTAAAAGTCGCAATCCTCTACCCTTTCTCCGTGGCACTGCTGAGATGCTTGGAAAGACCTGTGGGGCCGGCCCAAGAAGATGAGGATGCTGTTGCAAAGCTGTAGCCGGGGCCCATTTCCTGCGCAGTCAGTCAAAGTATTTCCACTGGAGGAAAGTCATGGACATCGTTTTGTTGCATGCCCCCACACACTGAGGCTGTGGTGTGAAGCGCATCCAAGTCCAAGAGACAAGGCGGTCTTGGCCGCAAACTAAACACAATTTGTCGACTGTACCCATATCAGACGCTATTCCCGAATCAGCGCCCAAGATAAGCCCGCATATCAACATTTCGACATATGCGACTGTCGAAGTCCGGAAATACGATGGGAGTGGGAGGGAGGACGAAGCCCGGAAATGGACGCTTTCTCCACAGATTGAATCTGGGTTTCCGCGGATGGGAGGGATCGAGGCATGGACCACTACCGTAGCCAGAGTGAATTCACTAAACACTATCTCCGCAACGTTCACTCTGCGTAGGTACCGGTAGTCAGTGCAGAAGCGCTGATGTACTCAAAGCCCACTACAGTCGGGCGGACTTGGGTTTATTGACAGTCTGCGTTCTTGTGCTGATCTGCCCCATCTCGCTCTTCTATGATTCGAGCTCTCTTTGAAAATCCAGAGTGCTTACAGCCTTGTCAAATCGTCTGTCTGCATCGCTGCGCATTGCTAACACACTGGAGCGCACCTTGTCTTTTCCTTTGGAGTCTTGTGGAACCATTTATCCACCTGCATTGGCTGTTGCTGCTCGCCTCTTCATAGTCTCACATCATGAGTGTCACCACACAACAGCCAGCGGTGGTGCCTCTCCCATCATCCCCAAGACTACCAATAGAATCACATGCTGGTCCCCGAAGCACACAGTTACCACCATCTCCGCCAGAGACCGTCAACGGCGATGACCCTAAGTCTATTACCTCTACGCCAGCCGAGCCTGACTTCCCTTTGCCTCCACCAGCAAATCCCAAGCCGCAGGTCCTAGACATCGATAAACCAACACCAGATGCACATGTCCCAAGAGATCCACGACTCATCCGCCTGACCGGGGTCCATCCATTTAACACAGAACCACCGCTCACCGACCTGTACAACGAGGGCTTTCTCACCAGCCCGGAACTATTCTACGTTCGAAACCATGGGGCTGTCCCTGAGGTCCAAGATGAGGAATGCTTGGACTGGGAATTTTCGATCGAAGGGTATGCTGATTGCTTGAGATCATGTTTGATTTCTGACAGGTTTATAGGATGGTTGCAAACCCGCTCAAAATCACCTTGCGACAATTACTAGAGGAGTATGAGAATGTGACATATCCCGTCACCCTTGTCTGTGCAGGTAACAGGCGAAAGGAACAAAATGTAGTACGAAAGAGCAAGGGTTTCTCGTGGGGTGCGGCTGGTGTATCAACAGCACTCTTTACTGGCGTCGTTATGAAGGATGTTATAGAACGAGCGAAGCCGCTAAGGAAAGCAAAGTATGTGTGTATGGAAGGCGCTGACAAGCTGGTAAGTTGATTTGCGTACCACCACCCTGCCTTGCTGACTACGACAGCCCAATGGATACTATGGCACATCTGTGAAGTTGAACTGGGTCATGGATCCAAATCGTGGCATCATGCTCGCACACAAGATGAATGGTGAAAATTTGAGTTTAGATCACGGAAAGCCATTGAGAGCCGTGGTCCCCGGACAGATTGGGGGTCGAAGCGTCAAGTGGCTGAAAAAGCTGATCGTCACGGCTGAACCGAGTGACAATTGGTATCATATTTACGATAACCGGGTCTTGCCGTAAGTGATTCTATCGCGCTACCCAACCGTGATTTTAATGTATTACAGTACAATGGTCGACCCTGATGAAGCTGCAAAGAACCCAAAGTGGTGGATGGACGAAAGATATGCAATCTACGACCTCAGTCCCAACTCAGCAATTGCGTTCCCAGCACATGAAGAGAAGGTCGTGCTTGCATCAGCAGAAAATTCATATAACGTCCGAGGATACGCCTACAGTGGTGGTGGTCGCCGCATCACGAGATGCGAAGTATCATTGAACAAAGGCAAAAACTGGCGATTAGCCAACATCGATTACGCAGAAGATAAATATCGAGACTTCGAAGGCCGCGAATTGTTCGGTGCGCGTTTGGATATGGACTGGCGTGAGACTAGCTTCTGCTGGTGTTTCTGGAACCTCGATATAGCAACGGCAGAGCTGAGGGATGCAAATGACATTCTTGTCAGAGCAATGGATGAGGCCATGTGTATACAGCCGCGTGATATGTACTGGAGTGTACTCGGCATGATGAACAACCCATGGTACCGGATAACGATACACCACGAGGGCGATGTCCTGCGTTTCGAGCATCCAACACAACCAGCGTTGATACCTGGTGGCTGGATGGAACGCGTTAAGAAGGCTGGCGGCAATCTGACCAATGGGCAATGGGGTGAGCAGATTGAGGGTCAAGAGCTTGAAAATACTGCCGTTGAAGAAGTCAAAGAGATCAAGATGACGAAAGACGGTGTAAACAGGATTGTTGAGCTCGATGAATTAAAATGGCATGAAAGTGCGGAATATCCTTGGTTTGTGGTCAACGACGAAGTGTACGATGGCACTTCCTTCCTCGAGGGACACCCAGGCGGTGCACAAAGCATCATCAGCGCAGCCGGTCTCGATGCTTCAGATGAATTCATGGCCATCCGTAGGTCTTTCCTGTTTGCATCAACAAGACTTCACTGATGTAAAAAATCCAGATAGCGAAACCGCAAAAGCAATGATGCCAGCTTACCACATCGGCACCCTCTCCCCTACTGCCTCCAAACAACTTTCCTTGGAGGAACCAACCTCGAAGCAAGCATCCTCATCCAGTCTTCGCCCGACCTTTCTAGATTCACGCACCTGGTCCAAAGCGCTACTTTCTTCCAAGACAAAAGTCTCATGGGATACTAGAATCTTCCGCTTCAAGCTGGATCACGCTTCGCAGACGCTCGGTCTGCCAACAGGCCAGCATTTGATGATTCGGTTGCGCGACCCGGTAACACGCGAGGCTATTATTCGCTCTTATACCCCGATTTCTCAGATAAGCGAGCAGGGGTTCTGCGATGTGTTGATCAAGATTTATGCGGACGCGCCTGGGCGGGAGGGCGGAAAGATGACCAAGGCACTGGACAGCATTCCCTGTGGGCATTGGGTGGACATGAAGGGCCCGATTGGCAAATTTGAATACCTAGGCAAGGGCGTGTGCTCTATCAATGGGAACGAGAGAAGGGTGAGGAGTATGAAGATGATTTGCGGTGGCAGTGGCATAACGCCCATTTACCAGGTCTTGCGCGCCATTCTGCAGGATTCGGCCGATAGCACGCACTGCACTGTTCTGAATGGAAACAGGCTGGAGGAGGATATTCTGTGTAGAGAGGATCTCGATCGGTTCGCAGAGGAGAATGGAGAGAGGTGTACGCTGGTTCATACACTTACGCAAGCGGCAGAAGGATGGACGGGGCGAAGGGGGAGAATTGGAGAGGAATTGTTGAAGGAGTTTTGTGGGACAGAGGAGGACGGGTTGGTGTTGGTTTGTGGGCCGGAGGCGTTGGAGAGAAGTGTCAAGGGATTACTTGCGGGGATGGGGTGGAGGGATGACGATGTGATTTTCTTCTGAAGATGCGGAGTTGTATGACGAAGAATGTGTATATAGGGTTGGGGTCTTTGACTCGTACTTGGCTTCTTTATTTAGGGGAGACTTATAACCAGCTATGGGTTTTCTATGATATGGTACAAGAATGGCGAGGGACAGCTGTTGTCTACTTGAAGGTATTTTCCATGTCTATATCCCTGGGAATCCATAGGTGTTTGAGTTTCTCTCAAGTTCCACTCGGTCTCGTAGTCTTTTGAGATTGCTTCAAGCCCAATTCTCTACGTGGGCAGATATTGTTGATAATCTACCAAAAGATGCTTGGGACATATCACACTGCTACTGCCACTGACGTCGCATGAGCCCGTCACTCTCCTTCGTCTTTGTCATGACTGTGGTTCCCATTGTCAGCAGGACGTACCCTGCCCTCAATCACCTACCTACCGGTGCCGGTACCTATTGATTGATTCAACACTCGGCCATAGCAGACTCATTCTCAGTCACTCCACCAAGCCTGCTAACATTGAACTCGGAGAACCAAACTTCACCACCTCGCATCTCCGCCGCCAACCTCCCGCACAGACCACTCTGATAAGAAACCCCTTGGACCCTGGCGCACACCGGTATCTAAACCCTTGCGCCAAGCCGCCGTGGTCGCGATAAGGACATGTCCCCAACATCTTCTCCCACTCCACCCATCCTCTCTTTCTTTCTTCCGACTCTTTCTCCGTGGAGAACAAACCGCGCTCTCAATCAAACCATTCGCCCAACGCGTTGAGAAGGCATGGATATGCATGGGTAAAAACAGCAGCCCCATGATTCCAGGTTCGGCTATTCTTGTGGTCCGGGAGATCCAGGCTGGATTACGGAACGCACATTGTACCAGTAGGCTGATAGCTACCGCGGACTATGCATTTCCGTAAACACCGCGGGACATGTCATAGGATGGAGGGGCTATAGTATACTCTAACTTGTCTTTGCTTTGTCGAGTGGCGCTCGGGAGAATGCGTGCTCGAGGGTGGACCATTGCGGCATTATCAGGCTGGGGTTGTCCCACGGAGTTGTTTGGTCTCGACAAACGTCAGATTGGGTGCGAGAAGGTAGGTATCGGTACCATGGGCCTGGGCCTATCAGATAGTGGGTTGATGCGATTCTGGTATTCGGGCATTGGTATTTTGTCCTGAGGTGATGGAGGCGTTGGCCTAAGTTGCCTCTTGTATTCTTCGTTAACCTCTCTCTCTCTCTCTCTCTCTCTCTCTTTTACTACGAGTCACATTCCCTATCTCTTTGTCCTTCTGTGTGGTTGCTCAGATCGGTGCAATTGGTTCCTACCAGCGGTTCATTGCCCATGCTTTCCTGAATCGAAGCCTTTAAATGCCATCAAGACTAGACTATATAATCGCACTGCGTATTGCTCCTCAACTCAAATAACAGCTCCTTGTGAGCACGTCACATCGCGAACATAATGGCCGCCACACTACCACTTCTGACCCAAGGCATCGAGCCAGTTTCGGGCGAATCATATTCACCACCCGGCGAACGCCACGTCCAAGCAACATGGGGTTCCAAGGATGGCAACATCTCGAATACAGAGTGGAATGACCCGGAAGCCAATAGGTTACCAGAAAAAGTAGCCGAGTTGGAGAAGAAAGGCGAACTGAATAATTCACATCCGCGAAGACGGGTTGTTGTTGTGGGATTGGGCATGGTTGGTGTAGCATTCATGTAAGTTTAGCCTTGGTGCGAGTGTTACAGTCTGCAAAAGAAAATAAATTGGGACAAGGATTGAAAGTATCGCTGGATCCGAGCTGACAAGGCGAAGTGAGAAATTGATGAAATACGACATCAAGCGAAGAGAATATGATATCATCGTCATTGGCGAAGAACCACATCTGGCATATAACCGTGTCGGATTGACGAGTTTCTTTCAACATCGCCAGGTCGAGAACTTGTATCTGAACCCTCAGGAATGGGTGAGCAGAAGACCTACAGTTTTGTCCAAGGCAACTTGCTAACTGCATCATAGTACTCATCAATGCCAGAAGACTCACTACACTACCACCTCAACACACTTGTTACCGAGATCGACTCGGAAAACAAAACCGTCAAAACATCGTCGGGCCAAGCCGTTTCCTATGACATCCTCGTGCTGGCAACAGGATCCAATGCCCTTCTGCCACGACACACACCTGGACACGATGCAAAGGGTGTATTCGTCTACCGCACAATCGAGGATTTGCAACGACTCATCGAATTCTCAGCGACACGCAAGGGCACGACTGGCACCGTTGTCGGAGGTGGTCTGCTAGGTCTAGAAGCAGCGCATGCGATGATGGATCTTCAAGATTTCGGTCAGGTCAAACTCATTGAGCGCAATCGATGGGTACTGTCGAGGCAACTGGACAGTGATGCTGGCGGTATGGTTGTTGAGCAAGTACGGGAATTAGGCTTGGATGTCATGCTCAGCAAAAGGGTTGGCAAGATCTTGACTGATGAGGAAAATGCAGTCAAGGGCGTTGTGTTTGAGGATGGTGAGCAGATGGAGTGTTCGTGTATATGCTTCGCTGTAAGTGCATGCAACTGGTTCCCCACAAGTCTCGACTGACCATGATAGATTGGTATCGAAGCCCGCGACGAATTAGCACGAAAAGCAGGACTCAAATGTGCAGACCGAGGAGGCGGTATCATTGTTGGCAGCGATCTCGTAACTTCGACACCAGACATCTATGCCATTGGTGAATGTGCAAGTTGGGAAGGTCAGACATTCGGTCTCATCGCGCCTGGCGTCGAAATGGCGGACGTCCTAGCCTTCAACCTCACACAAGCCAAAGCACATGCGCCACGCAAGTTCAAGAGCCCGGATTTGAGTACAAAGCTAAAGCTTCTGGGTGTCGAAGTGGCTAGCTTTGGTGACTTCTTTGCTGATCGCGATGGCCCAAAGAATTTGCCTAGACGGCCGCGGGCGGACAAGGAGGCGAATGGCACGACGACTAGGGATAAGCTGACGAATGGATCTACGCCGCCGCCTGTAAAAGCCCTTACCTACAAGGACCCCTTTAAACAAGTATACAAGAAGTATCTCTTCACGACGGATGGAAAGTATTTGCTAGGCGGTATGATGATTGGTGACACGAAAGATTACATCAAGTTGGTGCCAATGGTCAAAAACCAAAAGCCCCTCGAGGTCCCACCGAGTGAGCTTATTGTCGGCGCACAAAGGGACGACGATGACGGCTCTGATCTCACAGACGACACGCAAATATGCTCATGTCACAACGTGACCAAAGGCGATGTCGTCAACGCTGTCAAGGACGGAACATGCAAGAGCATCGGGGACGTCAAGTCCTGCACAAAAGCTGGAACTGGGTGTGGTGGCTGCATGCCCCTCGTGCAGACGATCTTCAATAAGACCATGACTTCCATGGGCAATGAGGTCAAGAACCATCTCTGTCCACACTTTGAGTATTCACGAGCCGATCTGTTCAACATCATCTACGTCAAGGAGCTCAAAGACTTTGCGTCGGTAATGAGAGAGGCTGGAAAGGAACCCAATTCTTTGGGGTGCGAAGCTTGCAAGCCCACAATTGCGAACATAGTCTCCTCATTATTCAACAAGCATCTACTAGACCTGGACAAGCGCGGTCTCCAGGAAACAAACGACAGGTTCCTGGCCAATATCCAGCGCAATGGAACATTCTCCGTGGTACCCCGTGTATCTGGTGGAGAAATCACCCCAGAGAAGCTCATCATCATTGGCACGGTGGCGAAGAAATACAATCTCTATACAAAAATTACAGGAGGCCAACGGATCGACATGTTTGGCGCACGGAAACAGGATTTGCCTGATATCTGGCAAGAGTTGATTGACGGCGGTATGGAGTCTGGCCACGCCTACGCGAAGTCTCTGCGGACAGTCAAGTCGTGTGTAGGGACTACCTGGTGCCGATTTGGTATTGGTGATAGTGTGGGTATGGCTGTCCGCCTGGAGGAGCGATACAAGTCTATCCGTGGGCCCCACAAGATCAAGGGTGGCGTATCCGGCTGTGTGCGCGAGTGCGCCGAAGCACAAAACAAGGACTTTGGTCTCATCGCGACAGAAAAGGGCTTCAACATCTTCGTGGGCGGCAACGGCGGCGCGAAACCACGTCATTCTGAACTCTTGGCCAAGGACGTGCCACCAGATGACGTAGTCCCTATCCTCGACCGTTACCTATCCTTCTACATCCGCACAGCTGACAAGCTCCAACGGACAGCACGATGGATGGAGAATCTCCCAGGCGGTATCAAATACCTACAAGAAGTGATTCTCGAGGACAAACTTGGCATCTGTGCTGACCTCGAAAAGCAAATGGAAGACCTCGTTGGCACCTTCTTCTGCGAGTGGACTGAAGTCCTCAAAGATCCCAATAAGCGTGCCTGGTTCAGCCAATTCGCAAACACGACCGAAACCATCAACGACACTATCGAGCCGACCCATGAACGCGGACAACAGCGCCCCTCGTACTGGCCCAAGGACTCCGTCACCCAAGACTTCCGCGGCACCCAATGGACACAGCTATCATGGCAACCCCTCGTTCAGGCCGCCGAGTTCAAAGACACAGACACGGGCGACAGCAAGGCCATCAAGCGCGGCGACACCCAACTCGCCGTCTTCAAAGTCAAAGGGAAATACTACTGCACGCAGCAAATGTGTCCTCACAAGCGGGCCTTTGTCCTCTCCGACGGCCTCATAGGCGACGACGTCGCAAACAACAAACTCTGGGTTTCGTGCCCCTATCACAAGCGCAACTACGAGCTCTCCGGCACCAACGCAGGCAAGTGTGCCAACGACGAGTCTGTGAATATTGCAGTCTTCCCCATTGAAGAGCGTGGCGATGGCTGGCTCTATGTCAAGTTGCCGAGTGTGGAGGAACTCGATGCTGTGCTGGGGACGAGCAAGTTTGTGATTAAGAAGAGTGAGACGGAGGATCCGTTTGCCAAATTGGATAAGAAGTTGGCGCGGTTGCAGTTGAAGGGTAGGAAGGGGCAGCAGGTTTCTCATTTGGAGAATGGGCTGGGGGAGAAGGGTAGGGCGGGTATGATCTTGGCGGGAGGGGAGAGGGGGGCTGGGGGGCTGGATTGGTAGACGGATAGGGGCATAACTTGAGGCGTTTTTGTTCTAAGGTGCTTGGTTAGGGGATATTTTGATGGATGGCGTTTTTTTTTCTGCATAAAGATTCCCGGCATGGTTCTTAGATGGGATAAATCATCTTCCTTTAGCGTTATCTATAATAGCATTCTCGAATATCGGACTGTAGACTTGATATCTAGATTTATCCCCTCATGAACTCGCTTCATCCTTGTGAGAGCCTACCGGTACCCCAGGTCGTCAGAATGCTAACATCACCGCAAGGCCTGACTACCTTCCTATACCATTCATCTAACGAGTTTTCCCCCACAAACCAGGGGCCCCAGGGAATAATTTTTGGGCCGGGGAGGTGCCCAACCCCCAATTGTGGGGTTAGGCGAAATCCTTCAAGGGAATGTGGGAAATGCGGCAGGCCCACCCTTGAACCATGGGAATTGGGTTGGTGCGGCCGGCACCAGAGGAAGAGATCCAAGCCATGGTGGAGGAAATCAGCGCGTCCAACATCGAAGCTATCATCACCAAGCTTGTTTCTTTCGGGACACGGCACACGCTGAGCCAGCAGAACAGCTCGACGTATGGGATAGGGGCTGCGCGGGATTGGATCGCGGCTGAGATGCGGAGGTATGCTGGGGATAGTGAGGGGCGGATGAGCGTCGTGGTGCAGAGTTATGTGCAGCCTGTTGCTTCGCGGATTCCGTTCCCGGTGAGGATTTCGAATGTGGTGGCGACGGTTAGGGGGAGCGAGGAGCCGGAAAGAGTGTATGTCATGACGGGGCATTATGATAGTCGGGTGACGGATGTTATGGATTATACTTCTGATGCGCCTGGTGCGAATGATGATGCTAGCGGGACTGCTAGTAAGTTGATTCTTCAATCACCCTCTTGAAAACTGATGTTGATTTGACCCAGTTGCCATGGAATTGGCACGTATTCTCGCCAAACGCCGCCCGAGGTCCACAATCATTCTCGCTGCCGTTGCAGGAGAAGAACAGGGCCTTTACGGTGCCGGCTATCTTGCCGGTACCCTCAAGAACTCCAGCACAAACGTCGAAGGCATGTTGAACTGCGATATAGTTGGATCGTCCACCGGAGACCGCGGCCAACGTGACCCCTTCACCATCCGTGCCTTTGCACAAGGACCACCCTCCTATGAGTCTGCCACTGTTGCTGCCCGCCGTCTACAAATCGGGGGAGAAAACGACAGTCCAGCACGAGAGCTAGCACGATTCAGCGCAGAAGTTGCCGCAAACAATGTAACTGGCATGAACGTGGCCATCATCTACCGTCTGGACAGATTTCTACGGGGCGGAGACCACACACCGTTCCTCACGGCTGGCTATCCCGCGATCCGCTACACGGAACCGAATGAAAACTTTGACCACCAGCACCAGGATCTGCGGACGGAGAATGGAACTGTGTACGGCGACTTGATCGAGTTTGTCGACTTTAAGTACACTGCGCGTGTGGGCAAGGTCAATCTCGCTACGCTGTGGTCGCTGTCAGAGGCACCGGGTATGCCGCGCAATGTTACGATTGACACGACGGTTCTGGACAATGATACGAGGCTGAAGTGGATAGTGTCGAATAGTACGGCTGTTGCCAGCTATGAGGTTGTGTGGAGGTCGACAACGGCCAGTTTGTGGACGAAGATGCTGGATGTGGGGAAGGTGGGGGAGGTGACGCTGCCGTTGAGTAAGGATAATATGATATTTGGGGTTAGGTCTGTGGGAATTAATAGCAAGAAGAGTCCAGCAGTGTATCCGTTCCCAGGATAGATGGGGCGAAATGGGTAAATATGTAAATGTGTAGTATGGTAGTCGTCAATTTCGCTCGAGTTGATCTGAGTCATTGAGAGTTGGTATATATATCCTTTGGTGTATCTCAACACAATATGTAGAATGTCAGAAATAATCTTTCGCTTGACATGCTATGACATTGAAGGAAAAGCTGATAGGTATAGACATGGGCAATATGTACACCAGTGTACTGATGTGATGAAAGTATTGATTGAAGAATCTATGGAGGAAGAAGCCAAGGTGGCTAGATATAGACATCCCCACTAGTCCCAAATGGGTGTCTCCCAGTCAACCCGGGATAGGGGAGTCGCCAATGGTGGTGGGCAGTCACCACCTTGGTATAAGGTAAGCACTATAGGTGATACAGAAATAACAGTCCCCTAAATCTATAGTAACTATAAATATATAAAGAAAACAAGAGAAAAACTATGTCCCCTAGTCTCCTAAGTAATAAAAACATTATATCTCGTCTATAATATTTAATATCCTAGTGTTAAGCTTCTCTAATATAGGCTGTGGGAGCGCTTTTATATATAAGTCTGCAAGATTATTACTAGATTAAACATGTTTAATATTAAAGTCGCCTGCTAGGAATTATTCTCTCACAAAGTAGTAATAAACGTAGATATGCTTTAACTATAGGTTTAACTTCTAGTCTTAAATAAGTGCAATAGCTAGTTTATTATTAACAAGCAGGTAGTATAGTAGTATAACTAGCAGGAATTCTATAATAGCGCGTTAAGCCTAGACAAGATATAATACCGCGTATAAGGCAGCTATATACTCTGCTTTGCATGTGCTTTAAGCGACGCAGCTCTGTCGCTTAGATAACCATAAGATAACTAACCTATTAACCTTAAGGATGTAACTAGAGAATAATTTTAAGTTATCTAGGTCTAATGCGTATAATGCGTCTAAGTATATTACAATCTAAGTAGGTTATCTAGCAGGCCATGTCCTAATTATTAGTTAGTAATCTAATGTCGCGTGGACATACTAGAGCACTTAGAATGCTAGCTTAAGATATCCTTCTAATAGATTAGTGTTGTAGGAACTAAGCAGGCTAATTATGTATACTATATCTAGTCTGCTTACAACTACTATAAAGTTAAGGGAGCTAATAATAGATTAGAACTTCTTCTATTAGTCTGCATTAACTAGTATATCTATAGGTGTGTAAGGTAGGAATAAGCTAGGGTTAATAGGCGTGTGTTAACTATTACAGTTAGTTATGCTATAGCGTTAAAGGACAGCTATAATGTAAGTGCGTTAGTAAAGTTCTATATAATTGTTAAAATAGTTAATTTTAAGCCCTAGCATTATACGCGGTTATCCTAGGTCTTAAAAGTAGAAATAAGCCTTTATAAGATAGAGCATCGTGTTAATCTATTCTTAAGTACTAACTATAAGAACGTTATCTACATAGATCCTAAGGACAAGATTACTTAAGATAAAGACACAAGGATTAAAGTTAGCCTAGGAGAAATACTAGGACTTTAACTATTTAGATAGGATAGCATACTATTCACGTCTAGACTACTTAAGACTATAGAGAGTCTTAAGTAGGAACAGTGCGCTATTAGATGGCAGTCCTAGTGGTGGTTAACAATAGATCCTGTGCTTAAGATATCTATTTAGGTATACGGCGTTAAAGTCTACTTATCGCGTCTGCTATCTATGCAGAGTGGCAAGGACTAGGAGGATTTGTAGACTGTTATATCTAACTACTAGTAAGTATGTATTATTGTAGTTAAAACCTAGTTGCTATAAAAATCCTTATGCCACAAGTCTTGCTTTTTTCTTAACAATGTTGCTAGATTTATCTTGCTTAGTATTAAAGACCTATTAAGTGCCTATAAGCTTCACACCTAGAGGTATCTTATAATAGGGTACAACTTCCTATATGCTATTTTCTGTATAATTAGCGATTTCTTTATTAATAGCTAGCTACCATAGGGTGGCATAATTATTGTCTGTTGCTTCTACAAATATCCTAGGAGTGTCTAATAATATTGCGGCGGTAGAGAAAGTTATTAAAAATAAAGAGGCATGTGCTAGTGCATCCTCTTTATAAGTTGTGGTAAAGGTAAATAGTTGTGTTATAGCATAGGATCTCTAGTATCGCTCTAGCTTTCTTGTCTATCTTCTAATGCGAGTTATAGCTATAGGTGTTAATACAGGTGTCTCTTTTGTGCGTGGTTTCTTCTAGGCTAGAGTGGATATTTGTGAATTCTAAGCATCTAGAGAGGAGGAGTCTAGTCCTATCCTAGGCAGTGCCTGTGTAGAGAGATAGTTAGGGCTACTTAAGAGGTTGTGTAGCAGGTTTGTCGCTCTAGACTTAAGCGTGGGTATTTAAGGTGCAGATAGGAGGTTACTTATATCCCCTAGCTTAGTGTTATTAAGAACTTTAATAGAAGGGAGCGTTATAACTAATTCCCTAGGCTACTATTATAAATGTTAAAGCTCCGTGTCTAAATATCGTGGACCATGCTTAATTCCCTGGTCTTGAATAGTTTAAAACATTTAGGGAACCTATAGGATAAAGGTGACATCCTAGGATTTAACAATAATAGCTTGTTATAGTATATAGAGACAGCTTGTCCTAGTACTATAACTATAGCTAATAAAGATACCTTCTTTAGAGCGGTGTAGGAGTTTAGTACCTAGCTTCTAGGCCTCTATAGGAATGTGGACATGGCCTTAGATACTAAATAGTTAGAGGTACTAAATAGATAGCTTCTTCCTAAAGAGCTATTTGTGTGGGGTACGTCGCAATAGGTCTAAAGAATATAGCGCGATGTTCTTAAGAAAATTTGCTAATATTATCGCTTTAGCCTACAAGAAAAGTAGATTATTAGATAGTATTATGTATTAAGTAATCTAGAATAGGGTGCGGTTAAATTGCTCTAGGACGCCATTTAATTTATAGTAGTATAGTAGTGTTAATTTATAGATAATTCCTTTAGCTATAAAAAATTTCTAAAGATTATAGCTAATGTATTCGCCGCCATTGTTAGAACAGAAGGTCTTAACAACAGAATGTTGTAGGACGCTATTATTAGTTATAGCTCTAGTGTCATAGAATTAAGTGTTTGCATAGGCGATAAAGTCCTTAATAGCTTGTGGTGCGTTAGCCTTAAGCTTAAGAAACCAAATCTAGGAATGTTAAGTGCAGTTGTTAACAAAGGAGATGTAATACTATAAGCTACTAATGCTTTAAGCAGGTATTTTTCCTAAGAGGTTAGAATAAATAAGCTTAAGTAGCTAGGTATAGCGTGGTGTCCCCTGTGTTAGCATATAGTGCACTAACTTTAATTGTTAATATATAGTGCATGCAAAATCCTTAGGTTTATCTAGTACTAGATATCTATTAGTATAGATGCGCGATAGGTTTAGCACTAATAGATGTCCCATAGCCTTATAGAAATTCTAGTATGTCCTAAAGCCTTTGCCTCTGTGTGTGTATGTCTCCTTCGCCTTTGTTGCTATTACTGTTGCCTTTGTTGTCGTCGTTGTTAGGGCCAAGGCTATTAATATTTAATTAGGAGAGGACGAGCTTATAAGCATACAGGTAGATAGTAATAGTAATAGTGGTTATTTAGTCTAGAGCTATATAAGGCCTTGTATATGTCTTGCCTATAGTGTGTATTAACTATGTCTAACAAGGTATAGGTTGTCTTTTTTAGCGAATAGTTTAAACCCCTTATATCTAATAAATATCTATAAGAATAAGCAGGTACTATAGAGTTTAGCGCTATAGAGTGTGTTAGTTAGTATTATAATATTAGTTAAGCTATTAGGGAGCTGCAGGCGAAGTTAAACCATGCTAATTCCTTGTATAGGGAGCTTAATACCACTAGCTATAGTAATAGTGCCTGTCTTTAGTGTTAAGGACAGGAAGTTATTAGCGCAGCTAGATATGTGCCTAGAGGCACTAGTATTAAAAAGCTATATAGGTAGGTTAATAGTAGTGGGTTAATAGATTGCTGCAAATGCACTTACTAATCTAGTACGTTTGCTATTAGAGTTAAGTACTAGGTACAATAATAATAATAGTAGTAGTATAGTTAAGTTAATGTAATAGTGAGCAGAGTAACTAATAATAGTAGTTAAGCTGTTAGAGTCTTTATCTAGGTTAATTGCAGCAGCGTTGTTTGCTTTCTACTTCTTCTAAGAGCCTAATAATAAGAATAACTATAATATAGTACTAGCTTTTCCCTTTGCTTAGTTCTCTTTGTGCTTCTTAAGATGCTTATAATTAGGATAGATGTGACTAATAAACAACAGGTTATGCTTCTAACACTAGGTACATTCTAGTGTAGAGGTACCAGACAATAGTGGTCTATTAGTGTTTAGCTATCTAGACGCTATTTGTCTAGCTGCATAAGTAGCTAAGGAGTTAGCGACATCTAATAAGTGCTTCTTAGAAATGTCTAGGATCTTAGGTTTAATGTCTTTAAACGCGGTTACGTTCCTAGTAGACAAGTTATTAATAATGTTGTCTATTATCTTAGGCAGAGTAGCAAGAAAGAATAAGCCCTTAACCTAATCTAAGTTAAACATGTCACGTATTACTACCGCGATAGGCTATATAGATATTATGCAATGTTTAGCTATACGTGTCTAGCGTTAGTAGAATTTATTAAGGTGCAGTCTAAAGTTATCTCTATTACAATAGTAGAGGTTTATAAGCGACTAAAAGAGCAAGATTAACGCATTACCTGTGTCCCTGTTAAAGCGGTTAGTAAGATACTTCTAGGCTTCTAGAGAGGTATTATAGCTTGCCACGCTTATTGTTAGGTTATTGTAAACTAATAATAGTAGCATAACTAAAGCCTTATTGTCCTGCTCGTCCTAGTCCTTAGTATTAGAAGGAAGTATTAGTCTTAGCTTCTTTCTAGCAAGGATAGGCTAAATGCCTATATATCTAAATACTATAGTCTAGGCTAACTGCTATTCTAGATAGTTCTTGCCTTAGGAACCTAGTTTAGGCAATAAGGAAGGGTCTAGGCAGAAGTTAAATGCAGGTTTAGTAGATATAATAGGTATTAGGGGTGGTGCTAATAGTCCTAGGAGAGGATCTGTCTCTAGTAATAGTGGATATAGAGATAGTGGTACCTCTAATAAAGCTATAGGTGGAGCTAGTGATAGTAGTAGGGACGCGTTAAATAGGTTAGAATAGGAAGCCACGATAACAGTAAATGTTAGCGATGTATGTAGCTAAAGTAGTAGAAGCTAATAAAGAGAGATTAATACAAGCAGGTACTAGTAAATAAAGCTAAGTATGCCAGCAGATAAGCTAGGCTTATAACCTGATGTGATAAAAGTATTAATTAAAGAATCTATAGAGGAAGAAGCTAAGGTGGCTAGATATAGACATCCCCACTAGTCCTAAATAGGTGTCTCCTAGTTAACCCGGGATAGGGGAGTCGCCAATGGTGGTGGGCAGTCACCACCTTGGTATAAGGTAAGCACTATGGGTGATACAGAAATAACATGTACAGCTGAATGGTCTGCAGGTGTTGCTTGGGAGCATGACTGGTTGAATGTCATATATCGGACCAGCCGTGGCCTGAGGTTGCTATGTTGTTCGAATGCATTTATGACTGTGTGGCTCCAGGTATCAGCGTAGTATTTGCCTAGTGGTTTTGACTATATGCGGTGCATGGTTGATTGTCTGGATGGAAGTCGGGTGTGTTGCTCCCCCCACTTCCCGCATGCCTAGCCATCCTCAGTTAGGTGGGTCTTGGCAGTTCACCCAGCATCGAACGTTTGGTGATGATGCAATGTGTCATGTCCTACGGGATGCTTGCCTACCAGGCTACCATTTGATACCAGTAATCCCACGGCCTCCTTTTGACTGTGCATATTCTGTGTCTTGAACTGCACATTTGTTTGGAATTTCCCTCTTCCGAGGCAGCCATCGTCATGGTTAGCCAATTCCTCCCTTTGCGCCGTGTACGGTGCGACTGACAACGAGCATAGAACGCCCTCTTCAATTCTGCCCTACGGCAATCGACCTCTATAAGGAAGGATCTAGATCAGTTTGCAGACAGCGCATCGCCTTCGCCACATCTACAAGCTCAGCTCAACGCCTCTCTCACATCCTTCTCGCGGACCATTGATGAATATGGCCGACTTGCAAAGCAAGAACCAGTACAAACCAAGCAAGAAAAGGCCTTTGAAAGGCTCAAGAACTTCAGGAGCGAACTGGACGAGTATCGGGAGAACTTCAAGCGGATAAAGAGCGCGAATGAGGATATTGTACGCTACCGACATCCAACACACAAGAGAGGAAGAAGACACGACTGACTGACGCGTCGCATAGCAAACGACAGAGGCACGAACAGAACTGCTTGGCCGCCGGCCACACCATGCCGCCACACCGGAAAACCCCTACGCGCAACCGAATCTATCCGCGGCTGCACAACACTCGGCCTTTGCACCTGCTCAACCTTACGATCCCTCGGCGCCATACCGACCCAATCCATATTCTGCGGGTGCCCCACAGGGTGGTGGCTACGACCGTGAGGGCCATGTGCTACGAGAGAACACCTTCTTCAACAAGACGTCGGACCAGTTGGATGAGTTCCTCGATCGGGGGCGCGCTGTGCTGGGCGACCTTGGTCAGCAGCGAGACATGCTCAAAGGCACACAAAGAAGGCTCTATACTGTTGCCAACACCCTTGGTATCAGCGGTGACACGATACGCATGGTTGAGCGCAGAGCGAAACAGGACAAGTGGATTTTCTGGGGTGGCGTCGTCGTTTTCTTCCTGTTCTGCTGGCTGGTCATACATTATCTGAGGCGATGATGCGTGCTAAGAGGTATGAAGAGGTCAAGGTGATAGTGATTCCATGATTTAGCGAGGCGCAAGGCGTAGTGTATGACTAGCATGGCATTTGTTGAAAACATGTAATAGCAAAGGTATAGAGTAGGCGAAGAGCAGTTGTGGCAGGCAATATCGCTGCCGATGAGAAACTGGCAAACGGCTATAAGCCTCCAATACCTCAATCATAGTCTATCCCCAATTTTGCTGATCATGCCAGTGTGAATCGCCACGAGTCAGAGCTAGTCATCGAGACAAAGCACGGCATCACATCGAACATTACAACAAAGCATGATTCTCCCTTCGCCTGAAGCTCTACCAGTATCTAGGAACTTGTAATCACACGCTAGGAAAATCTTATCCCAACATACACTTATATCGAGTCCACAACGCCCTCGTCACCTCGCCCAGCACACTCCAGGATCCTTTCCCCAAAAACCACCTCCCACCTACCACCCCGCCAACCGATCCAACTTCTGATCAATCCCCTCCAACTTCCAATTCATCTCCTCCTGCCTCCACTGCAACTGCCCCACCTCATCGTAATACGGGCCGGGCGACAACACCGGACTACTCCAGCCCGGGTTTGCAAACCGCGGCAGCGCAAGCTGCAAGCCGTGATTGCGTCGGTGGCCCAGCGAGCACGGGCGCAGATGCGACGGCGTCGCGAGTACAAGGGGAGAAGCGTGACTGCGGTTGCGGTGCGGGTAGGTGTCAAAGGGGTTGTGGGGGGGTGACGATGATGGCGGTGCGGCCAGTACAAGGGGAAACAACGGAGGCGAAGGGAGCCAAGGGTCAAAGACATTATTGCCAAGCGCATGTTGATCGACGAGGGAGAGTTTGGATAGAGCGCGGAGGCCTAATTTCCATTCCTGCATGTACCGCTCCTCCTCGTACAGCTCAATGTCCAGTTTCTTGGCGTTGACAAACTTGAGCATTTGCTCGGCCAGACTGGTGGAGAGGGAGATTTTGGCATACGCGCAGATGACGAGGAAGGTGTGGCGGGCGTGGCGTAGACCGCCGTGGAGGCTGTTGCGCGTGATGTCGTTGTCCAGAGTGTCTTGCACGAGCTTCCTCGTCCGCTTTTCCGGCGTTGTGCTGGTGTGGGCAAAGGACCAGGGGGAGGTTTGCATGGCGTGGGACACTTTGTTCAGGACTCGTTCGACTGTTGTTTCTGTGATGGGTGGGTTTGTGAGGCCGTTTAGGGTGTTGGAGACTTGGCGGATGAGGTCGTCACTGGCGAAGTCCATTGTGGAGATGGAAGATACTCCTCTTGACACTTGAGATGGTGGTGTTGGATTACTTCTGGGGCACACAGTTGTTTGAGAAGAAGCGGCAAGGGTGTTGGTGATATAGTATATGTACTTCTATATCCTCAGTCACACTTTTCACAAGCTGAGGCTCTAATTCCTCCCAAGACTTCCCAGCTCACCCTATATACCTTGGTAGAATCCCCTGTGACGCCTCACTACAACGTCACATCCAGCCCAATATTGAACCTGACATGATGAACCCCCTTCCGCTGCTGACTCTGGGTTCAACGGTTACACACAGCGGTTTGCTCTATTTTACCGACTAGTCGCAAGCTGGCGCCTGCATTAGCCACGACGATGCCTGGATAGCCTGTAGATGGGTTACAAGAGGGGAACGGGGCGTAGACCACGTCGACATCCTTTGGTCCGGTTGGGCGATCCGTCCGTCATACAGGAGTTCAAGAGTGCGGTGGTACTGTCTTTTGGTGAGCTGATGCGTGGTTCTTGCTTGTGTCATGCTGATGGTGTGAGAAACGGGCGTGAGGGCCAGAGTCAGGAGAAGGGATGGGAGGAAGTTGGATGTATGCATGTATGTGATTTGTACCTACACTATGAATATTTGAAAAAGTACTTCTTGTCAACAAAGGGATAGAGTTCATTCCCATCCTTTGAAGATAGACAGCCAACCTAATCTCACACAACCACAAGTGTCCCATGCCAGTGTGATCACTGCGCAGCCCCCCCCCGTTTGATCTACTATCTTTTCCGGTGAAGCCAGCCGGCTCCCACTCCCTCAGGGGCCCCCAAATGTCCAAAGTACATACATTCCGCCAAGCCCACTCCAACTCCCCCGTTCGCCAGCAAATCACACACCCAGACCTGTGCTGCTGGGCCGTCACCTACCTTGCCCCAAAGCATGACCTGCCCGTCCACCACACGGTAGTAGCAGTGCCAGCGCGTACAAGTTGTAGCGCCGCTTCACCGCCCCTCAGTCGAGACGGCCTTTGGGACCGGGTTGCCTGTTGTAGTGTAGTTCTGCGGTTTGATGTGGTTATATGCGCTGCGCGCTCGCGTGGAAGGGGTAATCTGGGATATCAGCACGGTATGTGGTAAGTAGACGGGAGTGGAGTGGACTGGGCTGGGCTTTGTGGCGAGGTGCTGGCTTACTCTTGTTGGCATTCAGTGTAACGATGTCCGTGGGGCGGAGGAGGAATGAGGCGTGCGGGATCGATCGTGTACCTGCTTCATCTGCAGCAGACCATGTTTAAGTCCTCTATGGAACAAGACGGGTGTGGAGGTGCAAGATCAACTTTGCAGGCTTACGTGATTGGTGTTGTGATTGATGCTGTAGTTGGGGGGAGGGGTCTGTCCTACCTTTTCCTCGGCCTCTGTGAATCGCAATGAATTCGCAATGAAAAAGTTCTCCTCCCCCTTCAAACGTGCAAAGGCAAATAAATCCCCCTTCGTCTTACAATATACAATATCGATTGCATCATGTCTCCCTCCCACACACCTCCCACAAGACATCCACGCGCCACCCCAGACCCAAAGAAGCCACCAAACACAGAAGAGAAAACAGCCATGCTAAGCATGTATACTCTGACACACCCTCTAGCCCTAATTCCTACCTTACACAAAGAAAAGAAACTCCGCAATCTTTCTGTCAAGATGAGGGGGGTATAAAGGGGAAAACCAACATGCCACAAACCACAAAACAACCTAAGCCAAGACAATACACATCTTGGGCGGGGGAGACCCCCCTCAAATCCGCCCTGAGAAGAAAAAAGAGGGGGAGGAAAGGAAATTACAAAAGAGAGAGACAAGATGACAAGAAGATGCTGCAAATGCTACACAAGAAAGGAAACAAGAAAGGACGTAAAAAAAAAGCTTGATTCGCCGTTGAAAAAGAGGCGAGTAGAAAGTAAGAGCAATGCTCGCTTCGCCGTGGAGAAAAACAAAAGAACGGGTAACATGATTATCCAAGCCGAAGAATCAACCACCCACCTACCCAACCACACATACAAAACACACGCATAACTTTCCCGACATGATAACAAATATATCTCCCCTTCCCCGGAGCCCGTTCCCTTGAAAACTCGAGTCCTGTCTTTCAGAATGCACCTCCAATCCCGTATCCCAACGACGCAAAATACCCCCCATGTACAAACACAGCCGACGGCCGACAACCTCCAACCTCCAATCCACGACACCAATATGAACAAAAAAAGGAACAAATCTCAGGCCGATCCTCCCACCCTCCTTTTTGGATAATCCTTTAACCAGATATCCCCTCCTTCACCCTTTTCCCACTTGTCCCATGCAATCTCATACGCGTCTTCTAAATCGCTGACCCAGCGCCTGGTATCGAACAGTGGACTGCTCCAACGGGCTTCGTACAGCATTCGGCGCAATTCGCTCAACCGGCCATGGGCGCGGTGACCGATGTAGGTGCAATCACGTGCTAGCCGTACAGCCTTGTCTTCGTAGTCCTCGTCCGAGGATGCAATCAACTCCATGGCCGCGCGCACGCCTGCGTCGTTCTTTGGTAATGCGCCTTTGAGAATCGAGGCGGCCATGCGGCTACACATTTTATACTTGTATCGCGGAAGCGTGAGCAGCGGGGTCCCGGACCACAGCACGTCGGCGGCGGTCGTGTGTGCATTGCACTCTGGTGTGTCGAGGAAGAGGTCGCAGACACGGGCGCGCGATATATGTTGGCTCTTTTGCGCAACGTCGGTGAACATGATGCGTGAGGCGACGGCGGGACCTGCCCATTTCAACGCTGTGTTCTTGAGATTGGTTTCGCCAAGGTCGGGGAAGCGAAGAAGCCAGAGAATGGCGCGCGGGAGGCGCTCGAGGATGCGGAGCCAGGTACGAAAGGTTGTTGGTTCAATCTAAGGAAAGTCAGTAATGAGTTGCGATAGGTTCAAGTCGGGCGGGGGGCGAAACAGACCTTGTACAGCTGATTGAAGTTGGCAAGTATAATAGCATCTTCGGGCAGGTTGGGGAAGATTTCTTTTCTCATTGCCCATCTCCGCTGCTGTTCTTCTTCCCAGTTTGGTTGGCGACCTTGCGAGTCTGGGGCGCTTTGACGATGATCGCAGCAGAAAAAGGTATCACGGCAAAATACAATATTCTCTCCGTAGATCCAATTCTTGTCTTCGCCACCACTGTTGTCGTCGACGAGGGCATCTTCCATGTCGACGTTACGACGCCATGGACGGAGCGTATCGGGGGGTACAGCAGTGTCGTCAGCGAGGAGATAGTCGCACCACTCGGCACCCAACGTTCCCGCAAACCCCATAAAGGCCATCTGGATCGGAGCTGCACGAGCAGCGAAGACTTCATTTCTTGCGCCTCGCGTGTAGCCATTGAGATTGACAAGAATGTGAATGCCATCGCCAATGATCTGGTTGACAAGTCGTTCTGCGGACCACGAACTGGCATCGTAGAACATGGGAGCCTCTCGTTCAATCTGCTTGCGGTGCTCGGATCCATCGCTTGAGGTAGTTGCATAGCAGTATGCCTTTGCACGACTGGGATTGTGGAGGCCAAAGACAGACTGCATCAAATGTGCCAAGGGATGGTTGTTGAAGTCAGAAGACACATACCCTACTTTGAGGTATGGCCTGGGTGGGGCTGGTGGTGGATAAACAGTCGCAGGTAACCAGGGTACTCGCAGTGTGGAACAGGAGATTCGCAGACCATTTCTCTGAGAGATGAGACGGATCTGTTCAGCTGACATGGGGCATGTAAAGGTGTGAAATGGAAGCACAGTCGGGGCAGCCGGTACAGCCAACGATCCAGGTAACTGAGGCCGCTTGTAAGCTGCCGTGGGCTTCTGCTTGCCCGTGACCCAGCGATCCTGATACCATTGCCAAGTCATTCGGCGAATGGCACGCTCGATGAGGCGGACTATGCGAGCACCTTCCCATTTTTGACCCTTCCACTTCGCCAAAACTGACACTATACTCTCCTGTTTTTCTTTGATTTCGTAGCCACTGCCTTCAGTAAGCGTCAACGGGCGCAGAATCTCTCGCAAGAACTGATCGTCCATGGACCCTCGACCCCAATCCTCGCCGTCTGCAAGTTGCTTCTCCACCAGTTTGACAACCTTGTGGATCCAGCCAAAGCTAGAAGCACCAGGAAGTTTCGCATCCAGCAACATCCCATCGTTGTCGACGTGCCAGCGGTCTCGAGAACCGCCGTCCTCGGCAATGCCACCTCTTCCAATCCATTCACAGACGGAGTTGTGCGCGTTGGCAAGTCCACAGACGGCTTCTGCGAAATCAGGACTGGCCTCGACGGCTCTCTTGTAGTACTGAATGGCATCACTGATTCGTCCCTTGTCTTTGACGGCATTGGCAAGATTAGCGAGAGCGATGTCAAAGTTCTGGTCACAGGCTACAGCCTGCTCGTACATGCTGATGGCGACATCCAACTGTCCAATATCTTTGAGCAAACTTCCAAGGTTGGTGTAGAGGTGCGCGTGTCGTTTATCCAGTTGGAGCCCATAATAGTAATATGACAATGCCAGGGCCACACCACTACCAGGGACCAGGCCAGGGATCTGGTGCTGGGGTGCAAAATAGGGCGCAGATATGGGCTTCGAGGGTGCAGATTGCTGCACGCTTGCGAGTAGTATGCCGACATTGTTCGCCGTCGAAGGGCTAGGTTGCAGCGACAATGAGAGATAGTAGAGTGCTAGAATCTCTCTGACACCGTAGCTGGTCTGGCTTATGGCCGATTTGGGTGAGTTGTTGGCCATGCCATCCTGGAAGATCTTGGCCAGAGAGAGCAAAGAATTGCTCGTGGTCGACACGGCGGCTTTCCGGGCCATGCCATCACTGGCAACGTGCCGGAGTCCTGGTAGCTGACCATGGGGTGGGAAGCACAAGTGTGCAGTCCTCGTGGCTGCTTCTGGTGGTAGTAGAATTGGATCAGAAGATGGTGGTACTCGTCGACCTCCTGGCGATCGCTCCATGGGGTCGTAGCCCACCACATCAAGTATCCGTTTAATCAGGCCATCAATGCCATGGGCTTGCGATCCCGCTCCAATCAGGACGGCGTTCTCGAATGCTTTTGCTGCCCCAGCATTGTCACCCAGTGCGTATAGCATATTCCCCTTGGCATGTACAAGAGCCAGGATGCGACCATTGTCACTGCCCGGGATAGCATAGCCACTTGATCCAAATCCTGGCTGATCGGAACCAGGGAGGTCATCGAGATCCTTGAAGACGGCTTCACAGTCGCCTTCAAATTCAAAGACTGGCCGGTCTGAGGCTTCGGAGAGATCGGGTGACTCGCTCACGGTCGAACTCGAGCGTTCACTTTCTGCCTCGAGGCTCCTCAGAGCATCTTCCCGCCGCACAAAGCGCAGTTTCCGTTCCACCTCTTCGATGATAGCCACAGCTTCTCGACCACGATGGTCACTGCAGAGTAGGCCGATGAGATGCTCGACAGCCTCGAAATAACTAGGGCGCAGCCTGACAGCACGTCTCCAGTAGGCCTCGGCATCTCGCTTTTGCTGAAGAGCGAGATAGGTGGCCGCCAAGTTGGAAATCGCTTCCACATGATCTCGGTCTATTGTCAAGATGTGCTTGTACCAGTCTTGCGCCTTTTGATAATCGCCCAGAGCATAGGCAAGACATCCGCCCAACAGAATACCGTCTATCCAATTCCATTTACTTTCTTCGCAATGCCGTGTTATTGCCTCTAGTGCCGATGCAGCAGTCATGCTGGGAGGTACTTCGTGGCGACCGCACTGTTGTACACCTGCTACCGATCCAGAAATACGTCGCAGAGATCGTGGAGGCTCCATACTGGAGGCCTGCGGTAGTATGCTCTGTTGAGGAGGGACTTGTTGCCAGGATTGCCGGTGTACGTCCTGGGAGCCTACTGACCAGGCAGACGAGGAGCGGGAATGATACATGGGAGGCCGGCCGGGTCCGGTTTCCAAGCTCGGATTGAAAGCGTGTTGGGTAGGAGCTGGGTAGGAGACTCGTCGCTCAAGGGTTTGGCGGCTGCCATTACTTAGCGATCTTGAAAATGTGGAGCTCGATTGTCGCGGAGGCTTGGGATATATATGTGGTCGAGAGTGCGTACGTCCATGTGCACTTTGCGCGTGTGGCTTCCTTGTTGACTGCAGATATCTCAGCAAGTCAACGTAGACTGTATGAGCCCAGGCAAACACTCTCTCGCGCGATTGGCCATTGGGTGAATCTGGCCCATAGTCTTCCAGTGGATTGCTCAGGGGGTAATTTTCTTGCACCGGCGTGGTCTGACCAGAGTGCAGATAGTCATGCTGTGGACGCTGCTGAGTGAGCGATCCTGACAAGGAAGGGTTTTGATAGTCTTGTGCGTAGTTGGGGACCGACTGAGCATAGGGTGCATAATTGATGTGAGGGCCGACATTGTCACTCAAGGCGCTTTGGCTTGGATGAAGAGGGTATGGCTGAAAGTTTGACATGTTGGTGGTAGGTTGGTTATAAGGGTAGGCTAGATATCCAGTATGTTGAGGATGCGTCCATTCGTGATTCGGGTGGTGGAGGAATCGTGGGTCTCGCATCGCAGCCGGGCGGTATGGTATAAAGGTGCCGTCGTGCCAGTAGGGTCCAAATGGAGCCTGGTCATTGGATACTGTAGGCCCCAGCGGCATTTGGACGGGTGGTCCCATGGGTCCAGAGTAAGGATGGGCCCACATCTGGTATGGCAGAAGCGGCTGTAGAGGGGGGACTTGATTGAGCATGGAATCGATCTGGGGGAGATGCTGACCGACGCGCCCAGAACCCGACCCCGTCTCAAAGTAGAGGGTGGGACTCCAATCTGACGATGATTCCTGCTTCCTACGCGCCGACGAGCCATGGATGGCTGACGAGCGCATGGGGAGATCTTGCTTGAGGCCATAGGGCATGCTAGACGCAGCCGTGACGGGTAAAAGTATGTGTTTGGTGGCGTGAGGGTCGCCATGCTCGACCGAGGTGCCATCGTAGGCTGCTGCGAGGATGCCCTTGGGCGTCTTACGTCGGAGCATGTGCTCGGGCGGCTTCGCTGCATGGCCAGACGCGGAGGGCTCGGAGCCGTAGGTGTTGTGTGTGGATAGCGGGTGAGCATATTGCTGTGGCAGCTGGTGCAGCTGGGCGAGGCGATGGCCCTCGAAGGCGACGGCATTGCGGTACTGCGAGGCGTGGGAAGGCGCCGAGGGAAGGTTGTAGTAGGGTGTAGGCGTGGCCATGGAGATGGCCATGGGCGTGGGCGTGAAGGTGGGCGCGGGCGCGGGCGCAGACATAGGCGGGCGTTGCGACTGCGGCTGGGGAGGATACGGGCTGACCATGGTGGCCATGACGGGGGCAGCGAGGTGCCGTCTTTACACGTTCTTGTGAACGCGTGTCTGCTGCTGCAGAGGCAGTTGGTCGACGACCCACGGCACAGCTTTCACCAAGACCAGCTGGTGCCTATGCCTTCGCGGAGTCGTCGTCGATCTGCTACCACTAACATGTCTCTACGGGCGCAACGGGGAGGCGGAGGGCTCTCAGCACACCGCGTGTCCCGAGATTGGCGCGTACCCAGCAGAGAGACCGGGAACGATGCGGCAAAGGGCGACGGTGATGGATGGGAATAGCGATGGTGACGGTGGTGGCGACGGCGATGTCGGTGGTGTTGCGGGTGGACGTGGATCAATGCGAGTTTCGCTATCGCGGGGCCTCGAGGCGGGGGTCGAGTGTGGTATGTGTGTCTATGAGGGGGGTGGATGATGCAGGCAGTCTATGCAAGGGCGGCGGCGGGTGCAGCGAGCGACGTGTTGGGTGAAGGGTGAAGGGCCCCCGGAATGTACCGCAGATGGTCCTGCACGAGAGCTGCCGCGGTGGTGGCAGCAGCAGCAGCAGCAGCAGCAGTGTGTGCGCTCTCTCTCTTTTCCTCTCTCTCTCTCTCCCCCTCTCTCTCTCTCTCTCCCTCTCTCTCTCTCTCTCTCTCTCTCTCTTTCTCTTTCTCTTTCTCTCTGTCCCTGGCACGGCAGCGTGCACAGGGCGGGCACAGCGTTTGTGGCGGTGCAGTGGCGGTGGTGATGGTGGTATAGTCGTAGTTGTAGTCGAAGTCGTAGTCGTAGTGTCGCGCCGACAGGCGTTTGTTGTTCCCCACTGCTGCTAAAAGGGCTGCACAAACCACGAGCGGGCCCTGGGTTGGGGGGACGGCGGGAGGGAGGGGGAAGAGTGTCGCGTACAGGATACAGGATAGGATATACAGTATCGTTAGCCTATACAGTAAGCCTGTCTGCACGGTAAGGCTGGTGCTGGGGAGGGCTGCAAGTGCGGCGTAGCAGCGGTCCGTCACGTCGTTCAAAAGCCAGACGTGGGTGGCGGCACTTGCCGTCTCCTCCTCTCTCCGCTTTCTCTTCTCCTTTTCTCTTTTCTCTTCTTTCTTCTCTCTCTCTCTCTCTCTCACCCACACACCCTCTCTCTGTCTCTCTGCGTTGTATAGCGGTCTGGCGGCCAAATCGCAGGCAGAGGCGGCGGCGGCGGCGGCGGCGGCGTGGGTCCTTGGTAGCCTAGGAGGCAGAGTCCAGGTACTACTCTATGTGTGTATATGTGTACAATACCCATGTACAATACATCGAGCGGCCTGCTTACTTTATTTCACGCGGGCTGGCGGGCGTCATCTCTCTGACGGGCAGTGTGCAAGCTGCGGCAGGCCTATCCACTTTGGCATGCATGGCAGTCGTTGGAGAGTGGGTGGCTTGGTCTGATCCCTGCCGCATCAATCATTCGACTGCATGGGGGGGTGGGAAGAGAGTTGCAGGATCATCATCGATGCAGCCAGCCAGCCATCCATCCAGCCAGCCAGCCAGCCAGTCAGTCAGCCTGTATGTACGGTGTAGAGTTGGGGTGCATGACTGCATGACTCTCGACTACTATGCCGGGCGGTAGTCTGTCATGTTGCCGTAGACATGGAAAGAAATAGAGCGTCCAAGAACGAGAGCGTCTACTACTAGAGTACTCTACTACTGTTACTTGGTCTGTGGCGACATGCTGTCTGTTGCTGCATGCGTGTGTGTGTGTGCGTGTGTGTGTGTGTGTGTGTGTAGCATGTGTCCATGTCTACTAAGAGAGCAGACAGAGTACTGTGGTCTATCCACCCATCCATCCATCTACTACCTACTACTACCTGCCTGTGTACATCAAGCATCGTCGACAATCAATAGAGTACCAGACACCAACGACGACGCGGGCAGCCGTGGAAAAGAAGGCGACTTGCAAGGATTCGCTGCCTCCTCAACCTCGCTGGCCATACACATACACGCAGCGCCCACCACGCCCTGGGAAAGGTGCCGCAATATCCACCGTCCTGCACCCACAGCCCGTGTCGCTGCTCTTTGTCAACTTTTGGCTGCCCGAGTCCTTTTCTTGACCCGTCCTGCGCTGTTGATACCTACTTGCCTGACCTACCCTTACCCACCTGTACCTGATGGCCTGGGCGGGCCTCATCGTGAAACGGCTTTTGGCCAGGTTTGTCCTTCTAGCCTGCAACCATCCGCATGTTGGCAGTGAGTTGGCGGCTGGCGAGCTGTGACTGAGTGCGTGGAGTGAGTGTGAGTGTGAGTGTGAGAGTGTGTGTGACGGAGTGCCTGAGTGATTGAGTGGGTGATTGAGTGGGTGATTGAGTGGGTGATTGAGTGGGTGATTGAGTGGGTGATTGAGTGGGTGATTGAGTGGGTGATTGAGTGGGTGATTGAGTGGGTGATTGAGTGGGTGATTGAGTGGGTGATTGAGTGGGTGATTGAGTGGGTGATTGAGCGAGTGATTGAGTGAGTGTGTAAAGTAAGCGTGAGGGATCGGGGATGGCCGAAGGAGGAGCCTGCCCTCATCCATTCCCCCCTTGGGCGAATCACCATCGTCTGCGCCCGATTCATGAATGCCGCCAGCCGCCAGCCGCCAACGGGCTCCCCACATGCAAACCTTCATTCATTCAGACGTTCACTCGTTCACACGTTCACTCATCACAGAGCCAGGCTGGCACAGTCACTTGTCCTTTCAGCCCCCAAAGGACGCGAGTCCATCCTTCCCCAACCAACCTCACCCATGCCACCATCACAATCACAATCAGCATCACAGTCAGTCCCAAAAATAACAGCGAGTGTAAAAATAAACCAAACCAAATTCTCCTCATGTCGACCTCGAAAAAGGACCACCAAAGCCAAACCAAAGGCAAGACAGCGCGGTGAGTAATGGGTCGTTTTCCTCTTCTTCACACCAAAATAGGCCTATACTACGGTCCAAGTCCGAAGACTTGGAAGTAAGGGCCAGAGTGTTGGTGAAGTGATCATCCCATCCCCTGTGCATCACTGCATCTTACTCTAGTAGCCACTCAATACACCATCCTCGGAAATCCATGACGATCCATGACGAGACTGATGCATGCAAGACAACTGCTGAGTGCTCCCTCCCCAGTGAGCTCCTGCATCGGGAACCCAACCCTATCGACACATCATGCCTACCATCCTTCCGCATAGCCGCACATAGATTGCTCAACCTCTGTCGGTCCACATGCATGTCGGAACCACAGCAGGCGCCTGGGTAGCACAACGTGCCGTCTTCGCAAAACAAAACCATCTCACCGATACCACGTAAGCCAATCCGCAAGGACGCTCCACGGCCTCCTTCTGGCGACGACGTGGGGGGAAGGGGGTTACCACTACTCTAGACATCAAGCCTACAAGCCGTGCCGGCGGATAATGACGGGGACATGCGCAGCAACAACGTCCTTCTCATAGAAGAGGCCCCTCGTGTTCGCGTCTGAACTGTGACGTTGTAGGAGAGCTGTCGACATGGACACGGAATAGCATGACAGCCATGGAGTACTGTGAGCTGCTGTCGAGTGTGCTTTCTGTCGACGGTGTGCAGGATTATTAGTGGCGCTGGGTGGCCGGCCTTGTTCATGGTAAAGCGGGTGCTGATGCTGATGTTGATGTTTGTTTGTTGTGTGCAAGCAGCAAGAAGATCAATCTGCCTCGAAAGAAAATTTATGGTAGCCTGGTTCGCTTAGTCACGCGCCGGCCCTACCTTCCGCCGGCGACCAGGGTGTCATTGTCTTTCAATGTGGCCTTAGTTGTCCTGATGGTGGGTGAAATAAGTGTGATGGTCCATCTCAAAGCCACGTTCACTACTTTGATCCTTCAGGCAGTCGTCCATTTGCCGTCCACCTGTCGTTCACCTGCCGTCCACCAAACGCCGATTCCCCATCCCCTCCAGCCCTGACCAGTTCATCTTCAACCCTCACTCGCCGCACTTCACCATGAGCGCTGAAGGTGCACCCGCCCAAGAAGGCCCTCCACCTCAAGGGCCGCCTCAGCCGCAGCAGGGCGAAGGCATCTCTATTCCTGTTCCTCTGGGACCCAACGGCGAGAGACCCACCCCGGAGCAAATACGGCAGATTCAAATGCAACTCACCGCGGAGGCAGAGAAGCAGGGCCTCTCGCTCCAGGAATACGTTCAGAGACTCCGACAGCAGGCCATGGCACAGCAACAGGCGCAAATTCAGGCGCAACAACGAGCCCAGCAGCAGCCCATTCAGCCAGGGCCACCCAAGCCAGAGGCCCTCGCCGTCGCCAACTGGCTAAAGGCACAGGAACTCAAGCCCCGCACCGTCGTTCACGACGAGAAGCGCAAGGACATGTTTAGAGGTAGGACGCTGAGAGTGCGCAGCATCGACAGATCACTGACATGGCACAGTCAAGCGTGCTATCCGCGCCCTGCAGTCGCCTGCCTACCAGAAAGCCCGGGCGAAGAACCCTCTGCTTCCCGAAGTCACGGACCGCGCATCAGCCGAGAACGCGTTCAAGCTCCTTCCGCTCTCACTGCTTGCCCTCCGCGTCTCCAAGGTCGAAGGAGATGCGCACGAGGGCCATGGGCATGCAAAGCCCAAGCGCGTCAAGGGGCTATGGACAGTCAAGATTGAGCAACATCAAGAAGCCAACGACGACAACTACTACATCTGGCTATACGAGGGTTCACAAATGAAGCAAAAGCTATATGCTGCCGGTGCTCTGGTCTTGGTCATTGCTGTCGTGCTCTTCCCGCTGTGGCCCCTCATGCTGAGGCAGGGAGTCTGGTACCTGAGTATGGGCATGCTCGGCTTGATTGGGCTGTTCTTCGCCATGGCCATTGTTCGCCTGATCCTCTTCGTCATTACCATATTTGCGGCCCCACCTGGCCTTTGGCTCTACCCCAACTTGTTCGAGGATGTGGGTTTCTTCGACTCGTTCCGGCCTGTCTGGGCATGGCAAGAGGTAAGCCAACCCACACGAATGAGGAGCTTGGAACGAATCCACTTTTTTGCTAACTCTTGCCCAGACTGCAGAAGACATCCAAAAGAAGAAGCAAGCCAAGAAGGAAAAGAAGGCGGCCAAGCTCGCCGCCCGAGCCAATGGAGCGGCCAAATCTAGCAAATCTCAGGCCCAATCCCACGACCATGGCCACGACCACTCGCACGATCACGGCCACGACCACGACCACAGTCATAGCCACGATCACAACGTCGTCCAGATCGCTCCCGTACAATTCTCCTCGCCTGTCGACTCTGCATCTCAGCCCACCGGCTCAGAAGCCGGTCCAGAGGGCGGACTCACCCAACGGCCGCCGCGGGCCACGGTGGAGGAGGCCGAGGACGAGTAGAAGATGTATGATTTTGGGACTGGATGAGGAATTGGACATGTAGTCATTTCGAGCAGCTATGCGGTTCAAGGAGAGATTTTTTTTTTCTCTTCCATTTTGCTAGTTTTTTTCTAGTTTTTTTTTTTTGCATGGCTTAGCTGGTGTTTTGGCGCTGGCTGCGTTGTGCTATTGAGGTCCTGGTCCTGATCCTGGTCCTGGTCCTGATGACGAGTCACTGTATAGGATATAGGTCACAGGTGCTGTGTAGTGGAATAGGATGAACAACCGCTATTTCCATGTCGCTTCTTGACCTTTTTTTTTTCGTCAGTTTGAGTGAGCGGCTTCATCATGTGCTGTTGTGCTTTGATCAGGGTCGTTGGACTGGACTGGACTGGACTGGACTGGACTGGATTGGATTGGATTGGATTGGAATGGAATGGACTAGATTCAACCTGCTCTGGTCAAAGTAATGTACATTAATCTATCCATTACTTCAAACATGGCTACAATAGATTCTCTCCAATCTTGTTCTTGATCTCGATCTTGTCCCCGTCTCTGCATCTGCGTCTGTGCCTGTCTCTCTTTGACAAGATACCTTTTCCATCTTGGTTTCGCTGGTTCTTTTCATCCACTTTTATCGTTTGCGTGAGAGATGGGGAGATGAGAGATGGATGGATTCAAAGACACCAGCCGGGTGCGGACACCTTCCAACCCCATGGAGAGACAATGAGAATAAAATCAATGTGCGGTTTGTTGGAGAGTGGAAAAACATCAAGGTTTCATTTCATCATAAGAGCACACGAACATGCTCGTGATTCTGAACACGTCACGACCGAAACGCCTTTGCTGTACATCGAGTACACTACTAATCAACCTAAACGCCATGGCTATGCACAACCACCGGATGCACGCTGCAACCCGTCACATGGACCATCTGCACCCATCGCCGACGCACAAACTGTCGGGAAGCTCTACTCGGTGGACTGTGCGGGCTGATCCTCTTCGCTGCCCTGGCCTGCGTTTTCTTGACTGGCCGCTGGAGCGAGTCGGGAGTGGATGACGGGCGAGTGCGTAATCTGGGCTGTTGGGTTGGATTCGGCGAGTTGACGTTCTGTAAACCGGTTACTGGGTGCTCGACAGAGGTAAGAAGGAATGCAAGAGACGTACCCAACTCCCTGATCCTCAGCTTCAGCATCTGATTTTCCCGCGTCAAGTTTTGCGTTTCTGCTTGATAAAAGGCACTCTCATCTCGGGCTGTGGCAGCGGCTGGCAGCATGTCGTGGTGATCGTAGAGTCCCCCGGCTTGGCCTGATAGCGGACGCAGAGCTGGTGATGCCGCATGACTACCTTGCCGTGAGCGGTCTGCAAAGGACGACTGCCTGCTGATGCTACCCAAGGCAAGCGGTGAGCGAGAACGTGGTTGTGCAGCCGAGGGGAGAGGCGAAATGATAGACTGAGAGCCGTGTGAGGAAAGCGGGTGAGAAGGAGGTATAGACATGGAGCGCTCCGAGGTAGGCGTGCTGTCATCCACTGCTGAAGAAGAAGACGGCGGCTGCTGCTGGTTGGTCTGGAGGGCAGTGATTTGTTCCTGCTGTTGGCGTATCATGTTGAGGAGCCGGTTCTGCGCGCGGGGGGGGGGGGAGGGGCTGTCAGAACAGGTTCAAGCAACGAGGCAGGCAGGAAGAGGACATTAGATACGTACCACTTGTCCCTCTTGCTCATACTCGAGCTCCTGGTGCAGCTCTCCCAGGCTAGGGGCGCGTTCATGTTGCGGACTATGCGGCCATGGACCCCTACTACGGGCCGGCGGGCTCTGCTGCATTTCTCCGGGGGAGGGTATGGCGGGGTCGTTGAGGTTGAGGTTCATGCGGACACTGGAGCGGCGGCGGGCGCGTTCGACGTCTCGCCGCATGCTACCGGACGAGAGCCTACGTGAGTCTTCACTCTGGATGCCGGCGTTCATGGCTGCTGTGGCTGCGAGCGAGTGAGGCGAGGAAGATGACATGGTGCGCGAGGCCGAGGGTGATTGGTTGCGGGATGTCGCCGTGGCCGTGGGCATGGACGAGGGTGTGGATGTGCTGGTGGAAGCGGGCGGGAAGTGAGGTGAGGGTGGCAGGGTGTTGAGATCTGGGGGCATGGCGGGCGGGCGTACAGCGGGGCGGTGGGCGGTGGCGTGAGGCAATATCAAGAGGAAGAGGTGGCCGTAGGAATGAGTAAATGGGACAATAGGTAGGTAGGTATCATAGTACTGTTGTACGGCGGTAGGCAAGGTCCCCTGGGCGAGATGATGGACGGACGGGCGGGCACAGAAAGTGGCTACGTACGTACAAGTATCGGCCCAACCGTCTTTGCTTTTCACTGCTGTTGTCAAGCTAGGGCCACCATGCACTTTCCATGTACCGGCCGGTAGGTGAGCGTCTAATGTTGTTTCGGAGAAGCAAGATGGCGTTGGCAGCTTCTGGAAGGCTGACTCGGGGGGGGGCGCAGGTACCGGTACAGTAGAAAAAGCAAGAGAATGAGCTAGAGAGTTGCAGAGCTGTTCTACCGGCGATCGCTGTAGTCCAAGAGCCGAGGCGAGGGGGAGGCGAGGCGAGGGGAGGCGAGGGGGAGGGGAAGGGAGGTGAGATGATTGAGATGATTGAGATGAGGGGGTGTGAGTGAGAGCTCAGGCGGGGTCAACAAAGGTCTCGAAAGCCTCGAGCTACCGTAGCCGTAGCCAGTGAGGATTCGACAGGCTACCGATTGTGAAAGTAGCATGTGTACTAGAGTGAGCCTGTGGTGTGTTACAGAACTCTCCATCTACTTGAAGAGAGTAGAGGACTGGAGGACTGTCTTTGCTGTCACTACCCTACCTTGTTCACACCCTCTGCTGCAAGCTACCGCGCCAGCAGCATCGCCAGTCTGACACGCACGCCTCTGCTGGGACCTGGCTCCCAAGTCAACCCAACGGTCAGCGTCGAGGTCGTTGGTTGTGGGCAGAGAGGAGGAAAGTAAGAGTAGCGGGTACAGGATGCTTTGCAGGCACCAGGAGGCCTGGCGCTGTTCCTGTTCCTTGCACTTGGAACGAACTTTGCTCAACTTTGAGCCTTCCAAAGCTTCCCGAGGTCGCTCCAAGATTTGCACGTCCGCCCATGCACGCTAACCCCGAAACAGGCTAGGGAGCTACAGGCAGCCCTAACTCGGAACGGCCGCCTCCACCTTCCGCGCCTTGGCTATCCGCTAGCCTGTTCCTGCGTTGGCGTGTGACATGACTCAGCCACATTCATCGCACACACACACACACACGCACACACACACACACACGCACACACACACACACACGCACACACACACACACACGCACACACACACACACACGCACACACACACACACACGCACACACACACACACACGCACACACACACACACACGCACACACACACTGGACATGATCTCCAATCCAATGCCAGCCAACAAATGCGCAGCAGAACACTTTGCCCATCACGACACTGTGGCCTGCCCTGTGTACTCCGTACTGTGTACTCCGTACTGATTCTACAATCACTCAGCCCGCCCGCCTGCACCTGAAGAGTCTGAGACAGCCTTACGCGACGCTACACGAAGAAGAACAAAAGACGCTCCTCTTGCCACACTACTGATACTTTTCGGGGCTTCTCCAACCGCACCACCGTGTCCTCCTTTTACACACTACCTAGCCCTCCCTCCCTCCCTCACAGCTGCCCAAAGCCCACGCTCATGCTCAACGCATCTCTTCTGTCGTCGCACAGAACGTGCAGGCTGCAGGTCCTGCTTGGGTCTCGACACCAAAGACGACTACGGTACATCGGATGCACAAGGCACTCTACATGGCACTTTGCCAATACTTGCCCATGTCGTATTACTGTGCCCTTTTGACTACGACTACCATGGCAATGCCCGCCAGTCTACGAGGGTTACCTACCTACTATGGCACCTATATTCCCACGCCTACTAAGTAGATCCTCGCCCAAATGTGCCCCGCCCGCTATCAGATGCCCTTTTGTACCTGTAGATCACCACCCTGCCTCCGCATCCGCAAGCCCACCACTTGCACCACGATCCTTTTTATGCGTCCTCCGTTTTGCGACTTGCTGCTTGCCCATCGTCCGTACATCAAGCCTCCGGCCAGGGTGACGCTACCAAGTTTTAGATTACTCCCCCCTCCCCCCCAACCCCAGCCCTTGCCACTCGCACCCGTGGACCGCCCGGGCTCTTCTCTTTTTTTCTTTTTTTTTTTTGGTGGCCTTGGCCGCACGACCGACGACGACTCCATGTTCGAAAATACTATCTACTCGGAGTAATTTAGACGCAGGTACTATAGTAACACAACAACAAACCTTGCCCTGGGCCCTGGGCCCATGCCACACTCTCCACACCAACTTACCCTTCCCAACATTCGTCACTCTTGGACGGATAACGGTGCTCAACGTCCGGCCCCGGCCCCGGTAGTCGTTGGCGACATAAAACACGCCAGCCAGGTGCTATATACCTGTACCGCTGCTAGCGCATCACTTCAATCCAACCTTGTGCGCAAAAGGGGCCACAGGGCAGCCCGTGCAAAGGTCCGGATCACAGCCCATGTCCGCCTTTCCCACATTGAACCCCTGCACACAATCACCTTTAGGGAGCACACTTCTGCGGCAGCTACACAGTAGTGCCTGCCACCTCTTTCGCTCCCACCACTACCCATCACTCTAGAGACATCGTCCGCGAGCCGTTTCACTTCTCTTTTCCCACTGCAGCATCAGCATCAGCATCAGCAACAACCATAGTGCCAATTCACCTCTCCTTTTCTAGGGGCTCCTGTCCTGTCCTTTCGTTTGAAATCTGTATCGTTGATCCGCCATACCCCGGCCAGCCATCCAATACCTACCTACCACCCACCACCACCCTCCTTCCATCGTCCCCCCCCCAGCTGCAATTTCCACCCTTTTGTGCAGCGCATTGATCACTCACGATACTCGACAATTGCCATTCCAGCAGGCTGCCTGTCACCCAAACCTACATGTGCTAACTCTTCTCTCCTCTGATTTGGCCGAGTCTGGGGACACAAGTCGACCCGGTCCCCTTCCCACGCCGGACCTCTGCCAGCCGTGCGACAGAGTACCTAGACCCTGATCCACGCCCTTCTCCTATATACCTGTGCCAGTTATAGATATCCGCCTGGAAGTGCATCACGTTCTTTTGGCTCGGTGTAGCCAGTTGCTGCAAGCATGACCGCCATTCCTGCACAGATCTACACGGCTTCCATGACTATGCCTTCAGAAGACAAGGCAAGCCCTAGACCTGGCAGCAGCCTGCGCACTCGCGTTCAAGATACCACTCCTGCTTCACGATGGCGCTTTACCCGGTCTACCACGAATCTGCGTGAGGCAGCCTCCCGATCAGCCTCCATTAGCTCTACGCAAATGCCCACTCCCCCCTTGCCCATGAAGCCTGAACGCCCTGCTTCCAAAATCTCCCTCTTTGGTTTGTTCAGTCGTCCGAAAGTGGAGAGGGCCCGAGGTCACACAGAAGGGGGACTCGTTATGCCGACGCGACCACAAACACCAACACCACCCACGCCAGCTCCACAGACCTCCATGGCAAAGTCCTCGCTGCGCCAGAATCCATCGCCGCCCGCACAGCAGTCTATCCGAGCACGATCAAGCCAGATGTTCCGACCAACCTCGATGCGACCCACCATGCTACAGAGAGAGGCGGGAGATTGGGAGCCGCCCCCCCTGTTTCAAGCTTTTCCACAGTCCCTAAAGCATGCTACTGTCCAAGCCTGTGTCTTCCCACCCGAGGTCCTGATGCGAACACAGAGTCAGAGAAGACAAGCTGAGCTGATGCGAGAACGAATGGATAGCGTGCGCGATCTGTCCACCATTGCAGAGAATGTCACAGAAACCAAGAAATTGGAGAAGAATCACAAGCGGCTCGTATCCAACTCGGTGCTGAACCCACCCACACCCGAGCTTGTCAACAAAATCTACATCTTGGTCGCTTCGGGATATGTTTTGCAGTATGCTGGTGATGGCAATTTTGATCGGGCGCCAGAAAAAGTGCTCAGGCTCGGCAAGGAATCTGCTGCCTTTGCATGCGATCTCATACCTGGCAAGCATTGGGTCTTGCAAATCTCCAGCCATGCACATGATGACGGGACTTTTGAGACGGGCCCAAAGAACTCCCTCCTCTCTCGACTCCGGACACAGAATGCCACTGTGAGAACGGCAGCCACGAGCTTCTTGCTAGTCCTCGAAAGTGCCGAAGAGATGGATGCATGGATGAGTGCCATACGCAAGGAGATTGACAATCTTGCTAGTACAAAAGTCAAAGACGATTTCATGCGGGCCTCGTCCTCTACGGATGACTCCGCAGGAAAGAGTTCGGCAGAGGCCATCACCCACCGACATCGAGCACAACGTGACCCTGAAACCATCAGCAAGGTCACCCCTTGGGAGCTACCCCTCGCCTCACCGCGTTCGGAAACACCACAAATCGTGACTTCGGACAGGGCAACGAATGAGAGTGAGCGAAGCGTGAGTGTGGCAGATTCCATCGGCGGCCAGACTAGCTATGTGGGCAATGGCCGCCAGTCAGGAGAGACGTCATCGGTTGCCTCGACGCCAGTCTCACAACACCAGGTACAGCTGGATGGACTCCGTGGACGGTCCCGCTTCTCCTTCATGTCAACAACGACATCAACGTCCGGTCCCGGCACCCGCAACACTTCACGGGACTCTTCTCCCGCTCCATCGCCTTTGAAGGACGTTTTTTTACCCGGAGATGTCGAGCCCATGCGCAGTGCCATGTCTCTCAAGTCCTTCCACATGAATCCTAGCAGTGGCTCTGCATCTCGGCGTAGATCCATGCAGCCCCTTCCCATCACAAATGAGAACTTTCCCCAGACAGTCGACACTTCTGCCAAGCAACAACGACACTCGTTGTACAGCCCGACTTCTCCAAAAGCGCCTGAGCTAGGCGAGCAGTCTTCATCGGGACCCAAGGTGCCTACAAAGGACCCAGAGCCTACAGGGCCACGCTCACCATCCCGGATTCAAATTCCTCATATTGCCGATGCTGCTCGCTCAGGTCCAGTACAAAGCCCAAAGGAACCGTGTCCGGAGCCATCAGTCACTTCTCGCGAAGACAGTCCTGTCCGCGTCGATGATCGCAGCTACAGCATTCCACCCAGGAGGGATGTCATCTCGCCCCCACCACGGGAACCTGCTCCGCTGCCTCCCAAGCCGGTTCGACCACAATCTTCAATCGGAGCCTCGCCATCGCTCTCGTCCCAACCAATGACCATGTTTTCGTCTGGGGCATCGGAAGCTAGGACCCAACGCCGAATCTCAGCGACACCAAAGGCTTTCATGCGACCTCTGCCTGTCCGCCCTCAAGCTCAACATGCTGAGGGTTCGATGATACTTCAGAGGAGACAGTCTTCCTTGACACCTACTTCGGCTCCTGCACCCTTGCCTTTGGGTATCAACGTCACCCGCTCTGTCACTGCACCTGCCAGACCCTCCTCAGCCGCTGCCAACACGGCACCAACGCCGAGTCCCATGAAGCTCCATCCGTCGCTTCCGACATCACAGACTTTGCGTCGCCCAACCTCGGTCCAGATTAGATCTGACCCTGCCCCTTTCCTCTCGTCATCGCGTCCCGCTCATGCCAGCCGACGAGCCTCTAACGCGCAAGCTCTTGCACCCAGTCCCAGGATTCTGCAGGCCGCACCCAGCATTGATACGCTACGCCAACAGGCTCTTGCACAGAGGTCCCGGTTGAAGAGTGTTGTCCCGAGGCGCAGCATGCCAGCTCTGGGGCTACCACCCCCAGCTCCGCCACCCAACATGCCTCTCCCAACACTGCCGCCAAACATGGCTCTGCCACCTACCCCAACGAACAGATCCACGCTTAACCCGCCACCCAATATGCCTCTTCCTACGCCACCGCCTTGCGCGCCTCTTCCTCAACCACCTACCCGAGCTTTGCCTACCCCACCGCCAAACGTGCCATTGCCTCCAACGCCGCCTGCAGGCGAGCCTTCTGCGAAGAATGTTTCTGCATAAACTTTTTGACTCATTTCAAGACTTGCTTCTTGTATTATTATTATTCATTTGGGTGGCGTTTTGCATAGGAGATGGGTGGAACCATGGGGGAAATATCCAGGCCAAATGTGCGCCACTTTTCATGTCGTTATGCCATTTTCGCTTGTCTGACCAGTCTGTTTTTCCGCACGATACCATATCCGTTTACCAACTTTTTCGTTTTATCTTTGATGTTTTTCCAAATACTTTGAATTCTTTGTATTCTGTATTTTGGAAATTGTGGTCTTTTGTCTATCCATTCGGCTTTGTACCCCACTCGTCTTCTGTCTTTCTTTGTGTGCAGTGAGCGCGCGTCTCGCCATGCAATGCAATGCAATGCAATGCAATGTCCTTCATTTATAACGTCTTGGTCCCTACTCAAAAGGGTACATGGCAGCAAAAGCGGATATGATTTTTTGGTGGGGATTTTTAGGATGGACTGGACTGGACTTGTAGATTATTCGGCTTCGCTGCCTTTTCGTAGTGGCGTAAAATGTGTATCGTTCAACTTGTTCGTCCGCTCCGTGCTGGATGTGTGTGTGTGTGTGCAGTTTGGCCGGGGTTGTTGGTGTCCAAGTTGAAGATTGTCTGGACTAATAGTGTACACATGATTGGTAAGAGGTATTGCTCAAGTGATTGTGGCCGGCACTAGAATTGCGCTCTTTATATTTGGTGATTTTGGGTAAACATTCACATACGACCATAGGACACTGAAAACTAGGCTTCCCGTCCGCTCAGCCATATATAAGCAGTGTACCGGCGGATTAGTAGTTAGGTGGGTGACCACTAGCGAATCCCCGCTGTTGTATGTTTTTGTTTTTGCCTTGTCTTGCCTGTGCATTGTATCTCTACTTTTTTTTTAGTGTTTGTGGCCAATGTCCAAGAGGGAAGCGCTAGCCTATTTTGGTATGCTCTACCACAGACGGGCTTCTTCCCCTGCATACAGCATCGACAACTACAATCTCGCACCGCAAAGAACTCGCGTCTGTCAATTATTCACCAAATAATTCATTTTTCATCTATCGCGAATTTAACGCATCATGGCACCGCGTAACAAGGCATTGACTTCTGCAAAAGTCGCAAAAGTCACAAAATCTACCCCTCGCAGTAGTAGCAGCAAGCCATCAATAGTAGAGCCACCAAGCCCAGTACCAACAGCACTACCGCCCTCACGTATTCATGCTGCTTCGTACCACTACCCTTTACTTTTGGCCGACCAGGCGCGATGCGAGGCGTTGCTGAGCTGGTTTGACAGTGAGGAGGAGACGCGGAGCATGCCGTGGCGGAAGGCATGGGTTGATCCGAGGGAGTATGGGGGGAGAGAGGGAGAGTTGGGCATGGTGTTGGGGAGGAGGGCGTATGAGGTTTGGGTTAGTGAAGTTAGTAAGTTTTTTTTTGCTGGTTACGTGGTGGGGATTTGGGGGGTGGGGGGGTGCGAGACATGGACGCGTGGACGCGTGGACGCGTTGTCACATGATTATGTACTCACGCCGTTACAGTGCTACAACAAACACGAGTATCGACGGTGATACCGTACTTTCAAAACTGGCTATCCAAGTGGCCGACTGTTCAGGATCTCGCCAATGCAAATCACGAGGATGTCCTTTCTGTCTGGAAAGGTCTTGGATACTATTCACGCGCCACGCGTCTCCACCAAGGAGCCAAAGCCATTGTTACCAAGTCAGCCGGCTCCTCATGTCCTATACCGAGTAATGCTACAGGTTTACAAGAGATTCCAGGTATTGGGCGCTACACCGCCGGCGCAATATCTAGCATCGCCTTTGGCCAAGCCGAGCCTGTGCTAGACGGCAATGTTGCTAGGGTATTGAGCCGACAGCTGGGCCTGTACATGGATGCCAAAGACAAAAAATCAACCGATTTGCTATGGGACACTGCTGGCCAGTTGATCAGATCTGTGTCCGGACCACAGCCCAGCCGAATCCCAGGACAGTGGAATCAGGCGATGATGGAGTTGGGGTCTACGATTTGTACACCACGTCCACGATGTGACGAATGCCCTATTCAGTCGACTTGTAGGGCTTATAACGAAGGGCTGGTATTGATCAAGAAGCAGCAAGCACCGGCTGTTGTACCCGACATCGAAGATGCATGTACCCTCTGTGATTTGTTGGATACCGAAGACTTGGCTACTGCGACTGAAGATGTCACCCAGGATGACCGCGTTACTAAGAAGAGGAAGACGGTTGTAAAACAAACAAACACTATCTCGCAATACTTTGCCGTAGGTACGCCTAAATCGGACGTTGGGACCGAGGATGAGGAGGAAGAAGTAGGCAGGCCTGCGGACGACTCACGGAAACGAAAATCACCAGCATCATCCTCGGTGCCGAAACAGGTCATGTCGTACTGTGCGCTCTTCCCGAAGAAGTTCTTGAAGAAGAAGGCAGCAGAGGAAGAATGTGTGGTGTGCATGATTGAGCTATGCATGGCAGATGGATCTAGCAAGTGGTTGATTGAACAACGTCCGGACAAGGGTATGGATTTCAAACTGCGCTCTGAAAGAAAATTGTCTGACAAAGGATTACAGGACTACTCGCATCTTTGTGGTACGTACACGGCGCAACATCATCTACAAGACAAGAAGTCGGTTGGCGGCTGTCTGCCCACAAGAGACGTCTGCAGTAGCCTACCAACATAGCCAACTAGAAACCCCCTTGTTACCTCTACTTCGACCGTGTACTGACCAGGTCCCAGGCAATTCCCGCAAAGCACCCTTAGCGCATCCCAGAAGTCGCCATCGCTTCGCAAGACATCGGCCCAGAAACACACGTCCAGCCTGGTGATTGGCGACATGGATATGAGCAAAGCGAAACACGTTGCCGCGTTTCCACCATTAGTCCACGTATTTACACACATTAGACTCACAATGCACGCCCATCATTACCGCATCTCTGGTGCCGATGGGGCTGCGAATATCGACCTTGTATGCAGGGGCCCACCTGCACGCAAATGGGTCGATGCCGATTCCATGGACAATGAAACGTTGTCGACTGGGATGCGGAAATGCTGGGATTTGGTGCAGAAGAGCATTTGACAGTTTAGCGCTTTTGCGTTGCAGGTGGTCAACGTGATATAATATCCCGCAGCAGTTTTTCCATTCACCAGGCATGCAGTGGACTTGCTTCTGCTAATCGCCTCGTTGGCCCACCCATACCACTTCTTCTTTGGGTTCCAAGGACCGACACTTCAGAATCGGTAAGCGAACAAACACACGAAAAGATACAGGCGACAAAAAATCCCAGACAGGGGCGTGCTTGCACATGTCCTCGGCACAGAAGAAGTCACCACTGTATATCAATGCCCTTTACTCTAGATGCACGGAGCGCGTACATTCAGGGAACTCGAGGTTCAGAACAGAGTTAAAACAGTCGTCGTCATTTCCCTGGAACATTTGCAAGGTTTCGGAGATCCCATTGTAAAATGACTGTCGTTCAGGACTTGGGCTGCTGGGGCAATCCATCGTTAATCCGGTTGCGTTACTTACTCTTGTTCTGGAATTTCTGCTTTTTTTTTTCTGGCGGTTGCATGGCAGAGGAGTTGAGCAGTTTGAGTGGCAAAGCTGAGGATGGCGAATGGGGTTGGTGTTGCATCGAATGGGGCCGTGGCTTCGGGAGTGAGGAGCGGGCGTGCTAGCTATCAAAACCTTCCTGTCGTGAGGGTTGGGAAAAGGTGTCGAGAGCATAGGTATGTAAATAAATAGGTGGTAGTAGTATCAATATCAGCAGAGCAAGTTCCAAACACAACATCGGCTTCCACATACGCTACTCTGCGCTGGCAATCCGTAGTACCCACCACACAGCTCGCAGCGGTTTTTTTTTTCTTTTCCCGGAAAGGTTTCAATGGTAATGGCTAGACGAGACCACATTTAAAACATGTCGATTGTCGTCTCGACTGCGGCTGTGGTGGTTTCAAACTTCATCCCTGCTCATGACTTCCGTCCGTCGTTCTTGCATCTGGTCGTGCAGGTAGATACAGTACCGGGACTGCATTCCTCAACTGCCACCCTCGCGCCCTGACGCTTCGTACTTGGTGATTAGTAAACTTGCATCTCCCACTCCAATTACGCGCCCTTCATCATCATCAAGTGTTACAGCTAGTTTTTAATCCAAGGCAGTAGTTGAACACAATGAGACCCACGCTTGCAATCCCAATCCTATCTCGGAGTAAGCCACGAG